TGTGAATTGCTAGACAATGCATTCTTTAATGTATTCTTATTCCAACATAGAAATTTAAAAATTTGACACATGGTGGTGGTATGCGCCTTTATTTTTTTTGATTTTTATTGAGCTCTACATTTTCCTCTGTTCCCCCCTTCCCTTTAATCCTCCCCAAACTCCCAATTTACTCAGGAGATCTTGTTTTTTTCTACTTCCTATGTAGATTAGATCTATGTAAGTCTCTCTTAGTGTCCTCATTGTTGTCTAAGTTCTCTGGGATTGTAGTTTGTAGGCTGTTTTTCTTTGCTTTATGTTTATAAACCACCTATGAGTGAGTACATGTGATAATTGACTTTCTGTGTCTGGGTTACTTCACTCGAAATAATGTTTTCTAGTTCCATCCATTTTCCTGCAAAATTCAAGCTGTTATTATTTTTTTCTGCTGTGTAGTACTCCATTGTGTAAACGTACCACATTTTCCTTATCCATTCTTCGGTCGAGGGGCATTTAGGATGTTTCCAGGTTCTGGCAATGACAAACTGTACACACCTTTAATCCCAGCATGAGGATGATCTTTGAGCCTGAGCCGACCTGCTACTGTGTTTTCCAGTTGTGCAGATTCCCCCTTTTGAATAACTTTGTTAAAGAAAGCAGCAAATAGTTCTAAGTATTAAAAAAAGAACCAACAAAATAACAACAAAAACCAAAACCTTGTGACCATTATATTTTTCAACTTTCAGCTTTTGACTTTTAGGTGGTGTACTGAGGATGGAACTCGACCTTTGACATACCAGGCAAAAGCACACTAAGTTTCAGTGTGCTTCATCTCTAGCCCAGCTTCAGATTTTGTAAGAGTGTGATCAAAGTAGATGGTGTTGGAACTCTGACTAAATTTTCTTTTTCTTACCAGGGTCAGTTGCTTCCATTTCTGCATGGACAGTGAGTAAGGGTTTTGCAGGATTATCTTTTTAAATTGTGAAATAAAACTTTTGTATATATAACCTGTTTGAAAAAAATAGAATGAGATTAGTTAACATCTAATAAATACCGAGAAATACCTTCCTCTTACACTCTTAATACTTTTTTGTTTAGGGCAGACTAATGCTACATGAACAGGCCTTCAGCATTTGAAGAGAACTGTTACAGATCTTCTGAGTTGTACGTGTTTTCTCCACTATTCTCTGAAAAACTGACAATTTTTGCTGCTTTTACGAATTTTATCAGCCACTAGTTCGCAGTGGAGAGTGTGTAGGAAGTAGCTGCCCATTGCTTAAGACAGTTAGAGGTGGCATTTCTCTAGGTGATGACGCGGGGAATGGAAGCCTTAGTAACTTGAAATAGTATCTGGAGAACTCACTAATGAAGGGGAAGAGAAATTTTTACCTTTCTGTGTCTGGATTTATGGGTTTTAAAGTATTACTGGATTTATTTGACTTGGGAACATAAAATTTAGCTAGGTGCTTTATTTTTTATTTTAGGCTTCACTTTTATCTGCTTCAGGTTAGAGTCTTAGTTAAGAACAGGAGTTACCTGGTTTTCCCTGAGTAGCAAGCACAGTTTTTCAGGTGGTGTCTTTTCCTGAGGCTAGTTGCAGCTGAATAATTTCAGTATTTTTGGAGTTTCACATTTGGATTTCTTTGAAAATGCGTAATTAAAAATGGTTTCTTTGGCGTGGCTCAGCAGTTAAGAGCATGTGTTGCTCTTGCACAGAGGAACTGTGTTCAATTTCCAGTGTGCTTATGGTTACTTACGACCTACCATTTGTAATTCTGTTTTACTAGCTCCCAGCGTTCTGAGTCCCTCTTCTGACCTCACTGCACCAGGTATACATATGGTGCACATACCTACGTGCATATAAACACTCATACACATAAAACAGAAATTTAAAAAATTAAAGATGGTTTTTTTAGTGGGAATTGTTGGCTATAATAGTAATGTTTGGGAGTATATCTGTCACAGATACCCACCTTTCTGTATTCTTTTAAAAGCCTATGTCAGTGAAGGGACTTTGAAGGCAATACAGAACTCTGGGAAGGATGGAAACTTAAGATAAACTGCCGCTCCTCATAATCTCAGGTTGGGAAACGGAAGCAGTGGCAGAAATGAAATGTAGTGACCTAAATGATGGGCTGTTGAGGTACACATGATTTTTCTGGGATTTATTATGACAAGTTATTTTACTTCTATCTCAGAGTTAGAATTTCATGTAGTACTGCTGACTTTTGAAAGAATAAAGAAACTGGAGTTAGAATGGGCCAGAATAGCACTTGGTACAGTTATTTCTCTTAAAGTCTGGACCTTTGAATATAGTCATACTTCTACTGCATGGCTTCTCTTAAAAGATTTGTTATTTGGGAAATGCCCTGGTTTTTTTCTTTCTCGTATGGTACTATAAATGAAAAATTTTAATACATTTCGGTATATGTAGTGTGTGTGTGTGTGTGTGTGTGTGTGTGTGTGTGTATACACACACACATACTTTTTGAAGAAGAAACTCTAACTTGAATTGCACAATTGGTGTTTCAAGACATGAAGGACAGATTAGTGTTAATTAATATTATGATAGGATTTCTAATGAAGATACCTCTTTATGCTGTGAGTAGAGCTCCATTTTGCAGGGGAGAAAGTCTTCCAATGTTTTGTGCTTAGGATGAGTAGTTGTTTTTGTCACTCTGTTAGATGGCCATGTTCTGGAAGTAGGGAAGAACAAATCTGTCTACTGTCCTTTATCTTTCCCCCTTTGTTTCTTTTATGTTTTACTTGTTAGTGTAGCCAGTCCTGCTAAATTTATTAACCTAATTTATAATGTGGAATTTAAACCCAAATGCATAAATTTCTAGTTGAACTTAATTTGAATTGGAAGTAAGAAATAAGAGCAAAAGCTCATTTGTCTCTAGTTTGTTTGAAAGCTATCTTATCTTTAAGGTACCACTAACTGGTGGTGTTGGGCAGTGGAATAATCGCATCACTTTCCTTCACCAAAAGCTACTTAGCAATTTAACTTTACTAGTGTGGCAAACTGTTTGTTTTGTAAAATAACAGTAGACTGTTGAGGCTTTCTGTCTAGTACAAGTTTTTGAATTCATTACTGACTTAAATCATACACCACTTTTAACTTCTGGGACTTTAGTTTCTGACTAAGATTTAATAGAAGCACCATTTTTCAGTAAAGGTGGTAATTCAATGTGAGTAAGCTTTCCGTGGTTATGGTGAAATACGTGAAAAAATCAAAGGAAGACAGGTTTACTTTGGTTCACAGTTTCAGTCTGTCTTCATCTGAATGAGGAACACAACCTGCTTTGGTAGTTGGAAAACAGAAAAGAGGAAGGGGCTGGGGACAAGACACTTGGCAAGTTTCTATTGCCTGTCAGGTTGTAAACCTATCAATAGACTAATTCATTGATGAGGACTAATTACTGCTCATCTAGTCACTTCCAAAAGTCTTGTCTCTGGATACTCCTGCTTTGGGACCAAGGTGTATGCTTTGGGGGAGGAATTTCAGATGCAAATCTTAACAAGTATTCAGACCATGAATGGATTTTTTTTTTCTTACTCAGTGGTTGCTAGGATAGATTATAGTTGGTCTAGAAACTAAACGATTCAATTTTCTGAGTTGTTTATAGTTGAACCTTTAAGCAACTTGTTTCCACAAATTAAAATTTCTGGGCTCTACTGGACGTATTAACAAGGGAATTACTCTGTTTGACCTATATGGATCTCAAACTTAGCTACTATGTACAGAATCACAGAGAGCATGATAAAATGCAGATTGTTGGACCTCAACATGGAGGTTGGTACTAAGATTTTGTATTTCTAAAAGTTTCCCTGGCTGATGTTGCTGGTTTGAGGGTTTCACTTCAGGACTTACTGACTTAGAACAACAAAGTCTTTGCATTGTAGAGATTTGGTTGTATGTAGTAGTGGACAGAGTTCCTTTCTAGCTCATCTTCCCATGGTGATTCAATTCTATGTCCTAGCAGTGATTCTGTGTTATATATGCTGATATAGTAGTCCCAGGGGGTACTTTTATTTTAGAAAGTGTTAACATTTACAGAATAACCTATGTAATGCTAAGAAGAAACTATTACAGTGACTTCATTTGTTTTACTAAGAAATTTTTTTTTTTTAATTTGGTAACTTGAGGAATTTGTGATTGGTTTCTTTATTTCTGTTTGCTTTTTATCCTCTAGTTTTTAACAGTAGAGTTTGACTTCCTGACTACTGTTTCATTGTCTGAGTCTTCTGTGAGGAGAGGAGTCTTTAAAGTAAAAGCCTGGGAAACCTTTTGGGTTTTCTTCTTTCTTTTTTTGTTTTCCAGATAGGGTCTCTTTATGTGACTCTGGCTGTCCTAGAACTGATTGTGTAGACCAGATGACCTCAGAGATCCACCTGCTTCCCAAGTGCTAGGATTAAAGACATGTGACACTGCCTGGCTAAGGTTTTCTCTTTACAAAAATTAAGATAATTTCAAGCCACAGGATTTTTGAAACCCTATTCAGTTGCATAGAAGCAGCTAAGTGGTTACAGTGTATCGACTAGGTGAAATGGTAGCTTTATGCTAATTAAGGTTAAATAGAACAAATACACTATTTTCCTGAATGAATTCACTTTATGCCATTTATTTACATGAATGCTTCGAAGGGTGGAAGGCTAGAAGCACAGAAGTGTAGCTTATATGTTCAGTATGTCCAGTTGGGTAGAAGAGTATCTTAACTACCATGATGCTCAGTCATGTCTGGCTTGTGACGTTTGTTTTTTAGTACTAAAATAAGCAGTATTTTGTGGGTTTACATTCTTTTATTTGATGTCTGTGATTCAGTTTATTTCTTACTTTGCTGTTAAACTTTAGCTAGATGAATATGTTACTGGATATATATATATATATATATATATATTATGTATATAATATATTTCAGCTGGAAAATTAAGACAAAATTTGAAGTAGACATTGAATATCAATTAGGTTTTCTCATTTTGACATGGTTAAACTGATAAAATTTATTCCTTTTTTAATGCAGGGAAAACTTGATGATTATCAGGAACGAATGAACAAAGGGGAAAGGCTCAATCAAGATCAGCTGGTAAAGATGTTAATGTTTTACTTCAGTGAAGGTTCAGTGTTCATTATTTTAAAAGAAAATTTTATAGTTGGGTTCTACTGAAAATGAACTTTTTTTTTTGTCATTTTAGGATGCTGTATCTAAGTACCAGGAAGTCACAAATAATTTGGAATTTGCAAAGGAATTACAGAGGAGTTTCATGGCACTAAGTCAGGATGTAAGTAAAAGATAATGTGTAAAATACTAAAGTTTCCACTAACTTCATTGTTTGGGGTTAGTCTCATCACTACTGTTAAGTTCTCTGCAAGCTGTGGAGATTGAATTCAATTATATCCTATATAATTGCCAATTCTGTATAACCGAGAACACTTCTTGAAAAGGACTGCATTAAAGATAAGATAAACATAATTATGTGAGATCTCAGCTAGTATAAAAGTATTTTTTCATAAATTCCTTTTATTTTTTTGTATACTATTTCACCAATGTTCTTAAGGAATGTGACAGACCGATATATACATTTACTGCTCTTAATCAACCCTTGATCCAACAGAAGGGCAGGTTTTCCCTAAATACATGTTACTGGCTGGCAATAATTGAATTTTTTGACTAGTACCTTTCTTTTGTGCCTATCTTAGTCACTGTTGTTTTGCTGTAAAGAGACACTATAATTAAGGCAACTTTCAGTTACAGTTGTTTAGTCCATTATTTCATGGCAGTACACAGGCAGACATGGTGCTGGTGAAGTATCTTGAGAGTTCTACATTTGGATTCATAGAGGGAGATAGAGAATTGGGTCTCGTTTGGGTTTTTGAAACCTCAAAGTCCATCCCAGTGACACTTCCTCCAGTTAGGTCACACCCCCTAATCCTTCTCAAATACTGCTGCTCCCTGATGATTAAGCATTCTAATGCGTGAACCTATGGGGGCCATTCTTACTCAAACCACCACAGAGCCTTTTTATAGAATATCAAAGATTGTGCAATCTGTAAACAATAAAAATGTATTTTGAGTTTGACTGAAAGTCCAAGACCTTGCAAGATATTGGCATCTGGTAAGACCTTTCTTAGAATTGTGTATCACAAGACAGAAGAGGGAGGAAGAGTGTGATTCTATTTCCACAGCCTTTTCCATAGCAACATTTACCAGTTCATCAAAGTGGTGCCCTTAGGACTTCTCAACACTTGAATTTAGACCTTTACATTTCCAGTACGTTAGTACAGGGCATGGCAGTTACACAGCAACCATAATAACCAAGTGAAAGATACTGGTACTTGTTTAGGTCAGAACTTTAAGCCCGATAAACCATTTTTTTCCTTTGACCTTTTCTTTTCTAAATACAGTTTATTTTAAAAAAGATGCTATGCAGTTAATCTACATATATACAACTATTAGACTCTTTTGTATTGACAGAGTAGCATTAACCCAGCTTTAATCTGTCTTTTCTTACTCACATCTTCACTACTTGAGCTTATATTTTATCACAATGATTATAAAAAAAATCTTTGGGCTAGGGGTCTGAGTTGGTAAAGTGAGGACCTGAGTTAGATCCCAAGAATCCATGTACAGGCTAGGCATAGTGGCACTTGCTTATAATCTTAGCACTAGGAAGTGAGGACAGTCAGATAGATCCCAGGGGCCAGCTATCCAGCCAACCTATCCTCCTAAGTGATATCAGGCTGGGGGAGACCTTGTCTTTAAAAAAAAATATGTGAATAGCATCTCAGAAAAGATGCCTGAGTTCTTCCTGTTCTAGGTGTATATATGTGTGTTTACACATGTGTACGTAAACACGCACATATGGGCGGTTATTTCTTTAAGGCGTCCCCTCACTACTTTCCTGTTTTCTGTTTCCAGCTACCTATGAGAGACCTTCCTCATTTAAACTGCTCCCAATATTGAAAACCTCATCCATTTCAGTAGACATTTTCACCTTGTAAGCTTACTTACCCATGCTAACTTAACATCTTATCACTTTTTATATATGTATACTGTGTGATTACTTTTCATTTATTGCTTTGATATTTATTTCTTCTGGTGCCATTATAAACTACCTTGTTATTTCAATTTTCATTATTCCTTCATTCTCTTTAAATTATATTTTTTTATGAGTTATAAAATGTTTTATGGGTGTTTTGCTTGTATGTGTGTCTGTACCACATGTATGCAGTATCTTTGTAGACCAGAAGAGAGTTTAGATCCCCTGGAATTGGAGTGAGAGGTGGTTGTAATCTGCCCTGTGGGTTCTGGGAATTGAATCTGGGTCCCCTACAAGAACAGACAGTGCTCTTTGACCCCCCAAGACAACTCTGCAATCCCCTAATAATCTGTGTATATATGTCTATTTTGTTTTTTTCCTATGTCAGTTTATTCTAGTGAAGCTTGAGATGGTGGGAAAGTGTAAAGGAAAATAGTGCCATGACTCTTAAAAACTTTACCTTTCTCTTCTAAACTTTGTCCTCCTTTCAGCCTTTCAAGGGAAGGATGGGGGGACTGAGAAAAAAAAAATACTTCATACTTTACCTAATTTATCCTTTTTTTCTCTGTCAGTATTTTTTTTCTCAATTCATAAAGACTGAATTTTGTTTACTGTCTTTCAAATACTGAAACTTCTTTCTGATATCATCAATGATTGTTGATGATACAATACAGCAAGGAGGGATTGATAGATTTTTTGTTGGCTTGTTCTTGAAGTTAGTAGACGGTAATAAGTTGAAATTCTGATGTCTCACGTTAATGTTCTTTGGCAGATTCAGAAAACCATAAAGAAGACTGCACGTCGGGAGCAGCTTATGAGAGAAGAAGCAGAGCAGAAGCGCTTAAAAACTGTTCTTGAGTTACAGTACATACTGGATAAACTGGGAGATGACGAAGTCAGAACTGATCTGAAACAAGGTTTGAACGGAGTGCCAATATTGTCTGAAGAAGAACTGTCATTATTAGATGAATTCTACAAGTTAGTAGACCCCGAGCGGGACATGAGTTTAAGGTATGGTATCTGGTAATAGAATCTCAGAGATACTGCTATAATTGACAGTTGGATAGTAGTTAATGTAATTTTTGCTATTTACAAGGTTAAATGAGCAGTACGAACATGCCTCCATTCACTTGTGGGACTTGCTGGAAGGGAAAGAAAAGCCTGTATGTGGAACAACCTGTAAGTATTTCAGATAATTCTGATTTTGTAGCTAGAAATCTTTTTTTTTTTTTTTTTGTTTTTTTTTTTTTTTTTTTTTTTTTTTTTTTAAATATTTATTTATTTATTATGTATTCAATATTCTGTCTGTGTGTATGCCTGCAGGCCAGAAGAGGGCACCAGACCTCATTACAGATGGTTGTGAGCCACCATGTGGTTGCTGGGAATTGAACTCAGGACCTTTGGAAGAGCAGGCAATGCTCTTAACCGCTGAGCCATCTCTCCAGCCCTGTAGCTAGAAATCTTTAAAATTTCTTTTCTATTTAATATTGAAGACATTTTTTTAGAGTATGAGTAGCAATTCAGATTTTGGTTTATTTTTTGCACTCTTTTTTTTAAAGCATGCCTCAGTGACATCCTTTATTTCTTGTATTTGACACCTTTCTTTGGGCAAGACGTGTGTAAATGGCTTTTCTTCTGCCATGAAATATTTCCCATAGAAGTTAACTTCCCATAGAAGTTAACTATGTTAGCTCTTGATTGATTATACGAGGAAAGTTCGGTAGTCTCACCCTCACGAGGACTAATTGTTATTTTATATCATGTAATTTTGTCATTTTTGTATTTTGATAACCCCTTCCATTAGGTTTTAAGATTAGTGTGCATTGGTTGTGGTGCCTTACACCTTTAATCCTAGCATTTAAGAGGTAGAGGCAGGTAGATTTCTGTGAGTTTAAGGCCAGCCTAAAAAGCCCTGGTTGTCTACAAAGCAAGTTCCAGGACAACCAGGGCTACATGAAACCTTGTCTTGAAATGCCGTCACCCAATAAATGATAAAAATAAGAGATTTATTTTTAATTATTTGTGTGAGTTTGTGTCTATATGAGTATGCTTGGGAGTGCAGTTTTCTGAGGTGGTTATAAGAGAGTGTCAGATCTCTTAGATTTGGCATTTAGATGTTTGTGAGCCAACTCCTGTTGAACATAGGTCCTCTGCAAGAGCAATAGGTAAGTCCTCTTAATCTCTGAGTCATTTCTTTCAGTGCCAAGAGCATGCCTAACACGGACAGCATGTGCAACAGAGATGCTTATTGAATGAACCAATAATCTTAGCTTTGTTCCTTCTTTACTTGCTTAGTAATAGTGTGAGTAGGTTCTATTTCCTTCCTACTATGCTGTAATTTATGTATTTGTGTGTTTTACTAACAGTTGATTAATTTTACTTCATTTTATAGACTATTAACTATTTCTTTTCAAATCTGTTATCAGACTGCAACATTGTAATCCATATTATGTCCTTTTTTTTCAGATAAAGCACTAAAGGAAATTGTTGAGCGTGTTTTTCAGTCAAGTTACTTTGACAGCACTCACAGCCATCAGAATGGGCTGTGTGAGGAGGAAGAGGCAGCCTCAGCACCTACAGTGGAAGACCAGGTAGCTGAAACTGGTGAGTACTTGGGAAGATAGGAGCTCTAGTTTTGGTCCTGGCCTGCCTTTCCGTTTCCTTTGATAAGTGTGTGTGTTATTATATCTATATTTAAATTTTAAAATGCACTTGGAATGTGGCAAGATAAGTTAGTAATGTGTGAAGTATTCAGTGCCTATCATTTGTCTTATAGGCCTTGATCACATAACAACATAAAATATGATAATGTGAATTTTTTTTTTTTAAGGTGGAAGGTGGAGAGAGAGTGTAGACTATGGTCCTGATCTGTAAACTTAACAGCAAGGGATTCTTTGCAGTTCCTGTTTAGTGTGACTACATATTCTGAATACCTTCATGGACATTCTTAAATTGATGAGTAAAATTGAATACAATTAGCTACTTCAAAATTTTGGGGCTGTTTTAAAACACGAGTTCAGAATTTGATTGCTTAAGATAAAAACTTACTTGAACACCAGCTTTCTAAATTGGTGTAAGTTGCTAAATACTCTAGTTGCTATTTAGGTTGTGTAGGTAAGTGCTGTTAGGTCAAGCCATAAGGGGAAGACTACTTATTGGTGGAATATGGGTAGTGAGACAGATTTGTCTTTTGGTTTTTTGAGACAGGGTTTCTCTGTGTAGCTTTGACTGTCCTGGAAATCACTTTGTAGACCAGATTGGCTTGAATTTAGAGAGATCCGCCTTGCTCTGTCTCTTGAATGCTGGATTAAAAGTGTGTGCCACCACTACCCAGCAAGACAGGATTTTTGTGATGTTAGTTTTTCTGCTTTTATTACTAAATTTTATTGTTCTTTTTTTTTTTCTTCAGATAGTCTTAATATATAACTTCTACTGGTCTGGAACTCCTAGATATCTGCCTGCCTTTGTCTCAGTGCAGGGTTTAAAGGTGTGCACCAAACTGGGCATGCTTTGAGGCAGGTGGATCTCTGAGTACAAGGCCAACCTGGTCTACCTAGTGAGTTTCAAGACAGCCAGACCTCCATAGTGAGACCCTGTCTCCAGGTGTGTGTATGTGCATGTTACTCCAGGCCCAATCTAGAAGGTTTTTATTTTTCTTTATGTTCACCCTAGAAGCTACTGTTAACGAATGTAATTCATTCTGGAATTACGTAAAGAAACTGACTGTTGAAAGAAAAGGTATAAGAACTTAACGCTAATATATTTAGATTCCTTGATTATCTGGTGGTAAAGTATTATTTTAGATTAGATTTTTAAGTGGAACTGAATGCGTGAAACAAATTTTCACCTTTTTTTGGTTATCATTTACAGACTTTGTTTTTTTTTTAAAGGTTTATTTATTTATTATGTATACAGTGTTCTGCCTGCATGTGTGCCTGCAGGCCAGAAGAGAGCACCAGATCTCATTACAGATGGCTGTGAGCCACCATGTGGTTGCTGGGAATTGAACTTGGGACCTCTGGAAGAACAGTCAGAGTGCTCTTAACCTCCAAGCCTTCTCCCCAGCTCCCAGACTTTTTTTTTTTTTTAAACGAGCAGTTTTAGATTCATAGTGAAATTAAGCATAAAGTGGTGGTGGTGGGGAGATTTTCTTCCTATTTAAGAACACTGATTGCTTATGCATAGAACCTCTTTGTGGCTTTGGAGCCTGTCCTGGAACTAGCTCTTGTAGACCAGGCTAGCCTCGAACTCACAGCGATCTACCTGCCTCTACGCCACCACCGCCCGGCTCAGGGTTTGATTCTAAACACCCAGAGGATGCTCACAACTGTCTATAACTCCAGTTTAGGGGATCTGCCATCCTTGTCTGGCCTTTGTGGGGACTATAGACAATACATGCAGACAAAAACATCCATATATGTAAAAACAATTTAAATTGCTCTTTCATTCTCCTGCAATTGCATAATTTCTTTACTACAGCAATAGAGGTACATTTGTTGCAATACACAAATATATGTGGCTCCCCTTGGCTTCTTGTACCTTCTGTAGATTAAGATAAGTATATAACAGGTTTCCACCATTATAATTTCACTGACTTATAGAAGTCTCTTTTGTTTCATTTCCTTTTTAATTCTAGAACCTGAACCAACAGAAGAATACACGGAGCAAAGTGAGGTTGAATCAACAGAGGTATAATTTTTTTTTTAATTTAATACTGCTTTTATCCTTCTGTCTTTAAAACAGATATCCTAAACATTGACTTTTCTTTTCAGTATGTCAATCGACAATTCATGGCAGAAACACAGTTCACCAGTGGTGAGAAGGAACAAGTGGATGAGTGGGCAGTTGAAACGGTTGAGGTAAGGATTGTATTATAAGGTTAATGTCATTTGATGTTAGCAATTTTTACCTATATTGAGAATAAATTAGGTTTCTATTTTTTTGTATTATTGGCACATTTAATCTGTCAAAGTACACGGTTTTGCTTTGATTATCTTGTTTTTAAAATTTATTTTTAATATAGAAGAATGTTTTTGCAGTAATGTATGTTTATATACCATATGCCCAATGCCATTCAAAAGCCAGAAGTGGTCACCAGATACCTTGAACTGGAGTTACAGGTGGTTGTTAGTCACTGTATGAGTTCTGGAAATCTAATCTTGGTCCATTGGAAGAGCAGTCAGTACTCTTTGTATCTGCGAAATTCTATCTCTAGCCCCCTTATTTGTTTCTTTGATACCATATTGTGCAAAATTTGGGCTCCCACCTCACAAAAAATGTGTGTCGTTATTGTCTTTGACTTTACTTAAAAGCTGTTTCATTACTAGACTTCTATGGATTTCTGTTGTTTCTTGATGTAGTCTCTGATACAAGTCCCATATATGTTTTCATCCCTAGTCCATTAGTCCCCTTCATATTCCTCTATAGTTTAAAATAAAATAGATTGAAAAGTAGTAAACTAAAATACTACATGCTAATTATTTTAAGTTAAGAAAAGTGGAAGCACTATATTCATCCAAAATGTTTATGTGTTGTGTTCTTTTTGAGGAACCTTTTTTTGTAGGGGATGTAGGATGAAAGAGGTTCTCTGAAAGAGCAGTCAACACTCTCTGCAAACTTAAAAATACTATTTAAGTGTTGGTTTGGACCATGAGGTGCATGATGGTGGTAGAGAACAGTTTGCAGTTGCTTTCTTCCTCCCTGTGTGTTCTGGGGAATTGAACTCCTGTCCTCAGGTTTGGCTGGGAATGCTTTTTGTCCATTAGCCACCTGTCTGCTCCCACTTTTTTTTTTGGCTAAAGCTTGTTTTCCTCATGACAGTCTAGTGTTTGGGAAACAGCTGTGAAGATGCTGGAGTCCTTTTTCCTCTCTTATTTTAGGTGGTAAACTCACTCCAGCAGCAGCCTCAGGCTGCATCTCCGTCAGTACCAGAACCCCACTCTTTGACTCCAGTGGCTCAGTCAGATCCACTTGTGAGACGGCAGCGAGTACAAGATCTAATGGCCCAAATGCAGGGGCCCTATAATTTCATACAGGTAAGTGTATTTTAGGAAAGTGCTGTTGACAGTAACTTTAGATGTATATTGTTTGACGTAATTCAATTATATTCTGACTTGTAGGATTCAATGTTGGATTTTGAAAATCAGACGCTTGATCCTGCTATAGTTTCAGCACAACCCATGAACCCTACTCAAAACATGGAAATGCCTCAGCTTGTTTGCCCTCCTGGTTAGTAATGATGATTTAAAAATAGTTCATTTTTAGAGAATATATGCCTCTGTGTGTGCACATGTATGCATGTGTTTGCACATGCGGTGTTATATGTATGTTGTCCCAACTGTTGGTTCCTCAGGAACCAATTGAGGTCATCAGGTTTGGTGGGACAAGTTGCCTTTTTTTTTTCTTAAAACCATATGAACCATCTTATCAGCCACCAAAGTCTGTCTTTTAACTATTCCTAAACCTTCAATGATTTTTTTTTAAGAGAGGAAATAAATTCAAGACCCAGTACTGATTGCAGAATAAAGTTAATTTTGCCCTTTGTAATGCTTTTATTTGAGTCCTTTGAGAACTGTTATCCTGTAAGCAGTTAATAACTAGTTCTGCCATTTCTTGTAACACTTGTATTAACACAAACATACAGAACTGATGACTTCACAAATGAAACACAAGAGCTCTTATATTGTTCGGTTTTATTAATATTTGTGTGTGTGGGCGTACACACAATGCTATTGGGCAATATGGAGGTCAGAGGAGAACTTGGAGACAGACCATTTTTTAATTCTATCATGAGAGTTCTAAAGATAAAAAGAACTCAGGTTGTAAGGGATGACAACAATGTTTCTTTTCTATTTGTTTGTTTGTTTATGGTCTTTTGAGACAGGGTTTCTCTTGTAGCTTTGGAGCTGGTTCTGGAGCTTTCTCTGTAGACCAAGCTGGCCTTGAACTCACAGAGGTGCACCAGTACTACCTTGCCAAAAGTGTTTCTTAATCCATTGAACCTTTTGTCAGCCCTTGTCAAAGTCTTGAGTATAAGTAATACTACTTTCTTGTACTACTTTAAAAATTAACATTGTTTTTATTTGTGTATATATGTATGCCAGTGTGTTTGGGTGCCTGCAGAGGTCAGAGAGAGTGTTGGATCTTCTGAAATTGGAGTTGCAGGTGGATATGAGCAACCTGTTGTGGATACTGGAAGCCGAACTCAGGTCCTTTGGAAGAGCAGCAAGTGCTTTACCTGCTGAGCCATCTGTCTCTCCAGGACCAGACCAGGCCACCTGGATGTGAGAATTAGGAAATTGTAACTGCCAGACCTTGTCGGGTTACGCTACTTTCACAGGTGGACTTTCTCAAAAGTACTGGCACTGGTTATTTATTATCTGTTACAATGTACCTTCTACTGAACTTTTCTTACTAGCATCTTACTTTGCCAAAGCACAAAACAGATACAACTGTGACACTATAATCTATAATCTCTGCCTTAGTGCTAATTTGAAAGCTGAAATCTTAGTTGTACTTTGCAATTTATTTTGAAAATATTCATTTGATTATAGAAATTTAACCTTAGCACTATGAATAATGTAGGTAAAGTTTAAAAATTGGATTTCCTTTTAAGAAATTTGATTTTAGGGCTGAAGAGATGGCTCAGCGGTTAAGAGCCCTGGCTGCTCTTGCAGAGGTCCTAAGTTCAATTCTCTGCAACCATCTACAATGAGATCTGGTGCCCTCTTCTGGCCTGCAGGCATACATGAACACAGAACACTGTAAACATAATAAATAAATAAAATCTTAAAAAGAAATTTGATTTTATGTAACAATGTTCTTAAATTTGCAGTTCATTCTGAATCTAGACTTGCCCAACCTAATCAAGTTCCTGTACAACCAGAAGCTACACAGGTAAGAATGGATAAGTAGTTTCATTTATGTTCTTTTTTTACTTGATCACTTTTCAAGTGTTCTGTTAAAGATTGATTGGCAATAGGTAGTTACTAGAATTTATTTCCATGCTTATATTTGTTTTTGTTTTGGTGACTTTAAAATATTTTAATTATTCACACATTAGGACCTTGCCTTAAAAGTTATTTTACACTGATAATTGCATATGTAATAGCATTAAAGGGAAATAAATGTCTTTAAAACTGTTGAGAGGTTGTGTTGGCACACACCTTTAATTCCAGTACTCAGGGTGAAGAGTCAGGTGGATCTCTGAGCTTGAGGCTAGCTTAGTCTACAGAGTGAGTTCAAGACACTCAGGACCATGCAGAGAAAGTGTTTCTGTCTTGAGGAAAACAAAACAAAACAAAAAAAAAACAACAAAAAATCCAGAATAAAGTAAATCACAGCCAGTTAATTACTTAAACTAATTTAAACTTTAAGATTTAAATATCAGTATAGTTTGCAGTTGTTACATGTTTAATTCATTTTGAAATAGTCTCAATATGTAGCCCTGATTGACCTGGACCTTGCTATGTAGAACTTGAAGTCACAGAGATTTCTTTGCCTCTGCCTCCCCCAGTACTGGGATTAAAGGTGTGTTACCTATCTAGCCATATGTCATAAAGTCTATAGTCTCAAAATACAGAGGTAAATTCTCTTTATCTTAACAGACATATCTTTTTCTTTGAATCTGTATTAGAGTTAGTATAATTTTTTAAATGATCAATTTTGTTAGAAGAAAATAAGGTTTGAGATTATTATTCTTGTATAGGTTCCTTTGGTTTCATCCACAAGTGAGGGGTATACAGCGTCTCAACCCTTGTACCAGCCTTCGCATGCTGCAGAGCAGCGGCCACAAAAGGAGCCAATGGATCAGATTCAGGCAAGTTCTGTTATCAAGCCTGACCAGGCATGGTACTTAAACTATAAATGCAGTGATTCTTTTGTGTCCTATTTTGTGTTAGTTTACCATTAAAGTAGTTTCTTCACTTTGTGTTTAGGCAACAATATCTTTAAATACAGACCAGACTACAGCCTCATCATCCCTTCCTGCTGCTTCTCAGCCTCAAGTGTTCCAGACTGGGACAAGTAAACCTTTGCATAGCAGTGGAATAAATGTAAATGCCGCTCCATTCCAATCCATGCAAACGGTGAGCAGTTAACACTGTTTAATGTGTACTATGAGTAACCTTGTATCTATGATTGTATGTTACTGACCACTAGACTTCTCAGTGATGAGTTTTAGCCTTATGAGTCACTCATGTAAAATTTTTAGCTTTCCTCCAAAGGTTAAAAGATCTAGTTTAAACAAAACAAACAGGCCAGAGAGATGAATCAATAGGTAAAGTCCTTGTTGCCAAGCCTTATATTCTGAGTTTAATCCCTGGAACTCAAATGGGAGAATAAGTTATGAAAGTTGCCCTCTGACCTCCACATGTGTAGTTCATACACATAAACACATATACTAACTCTTTAAATCAAAATAAAAGAGTGTTGTATAATATTTGTGGACTTAGAAACTAGATGTGGAACTGTTGGCATCTTTGCTCTTTATTTTGCTGGAATGTTTGAAAGTAGAATTTAGATGTTATGCTTCACTGATTCATCAGTAATTATTTTTAAATTATAATAATTACTAGAAAATACTATAATCTGAAATAGGGTTATATTAGTGTCAGCGGAATTGCTGAAGTATTAAACACTTACAATTTTTTTCTTATTTGATTTGCTACAGGTGTTCAATATGAATGCCCCTGTTCCTCCTGTTAATGAACCAGAAACCTTGAAACAACAGAATCAGTACCAGGCTAGTTATAATCAGAGTTTTCCCAGTCAGCCTCACCAAGTGGAGCAAACAGAGCTTCAACAAGATCAACTGCAAACGGGTAAGAAGGGCGGGGTGACTTTTTATGGTTTTGTTGTTGTCCATGCCGGTCCGTTGTGTCGTGCCCGTGCCCCCCCCCCCCCCCCCCCCACACACACACACAGGGTTTCTCTCTGACAGCTCCTTTTGTAGGCCAGGCTGGCTTGAAAATCATAGATCCGTCTTCCTCTGCCTCCCTGGGATTAAAGGCGTGCACCACCACCACCCAGCCTAGGATGAGTTCTCAGTCTTTTATTTTTTTTGATAAGATGAAAGGGTTAATGTACACATACATTTAAAATCTTGTTTAAAAGTAGCACTTTAATTTGTTGACGTGCACACATGTTCACACACACGTGTGTGGTGGCGCCTAGAGGACAACTTTGGAGACAGTTCTCTACTTGCACATCAGTGTGGGCCTCATGCTTGCAGGGCAGATACTTTCCTCACCGAGCCATCCCACCAGCCTGCAGTAACTACAGTGAGCTCCTCGTTCCTTTGTTCTTCTTGGTTTTTGTCTTCTTTCAGTTTTGTATGCAAATGTTACCTCATGAGCACTTTCTTTCCTTCATCACTGTCATTTCAGATATAATTCTCCATCATCTTTTAATTGAGTAGTAAAACTTGTAAGTAGACAAGACTGTGTGTTGGTAATTTAAACCCCTTGTGTATGGAAAATTACCTGGTGTGTTCTAGGCCTGGTATTAATTTGAATAAAATCTAATTAATAGTTTGTTTTTCCATGAAAAAAAGTACCGGGAAAGAATCTTTGTTTCTTATCTTTTAAGACAGGATTTGCCTGTGCTTGGAACTTGCTTTGTCGAACAGACTAGCCTGTAATAAACAGATAAGCATGTCTCTGCTTTCTGAATTCTGGATCGAAAGGCATGTGCCACTGTGCCTGGCTTGGTTTTTCCCTTTATATATGCCACATTTTAAATAAATAGGAATTCTGCTGCACTGAAATAAAGACTTTTGTGTTTTCTCTTCTTCTTCTTCTTCTCCTCCTCCTCCTCCTCCTCCTCTTCTCCCCCCCCCCCTCGTCTCTCTTGTTTCTTTCCTGGCATGGCAACACATGCCTTAATCCCAGTATTCAGAAGGCAGATGCGGGAGGATCTCTTGATTTTGAGGCTAGCCTGGACTGCTAGTTTCTGGCTAGCCAGGGCATGTATAGTGAGATACTTTCTCCAAAAAAAAAAAAAGGTGATTTATTAGCATTAGGTATTTGACTTATATTAAGTTTTTTATTTCTTTGTTTCTGTAGGCCAACCAAAGTTTCCCTTCCCTCTTCTACTTTCAATCACTCCCCTCTACCCCAACTCCTCATCTACTCCTCTTTCTCTTCAGATAGGGACAAGTCAGCCATGATGACAACCAGCTATGGTATATTAAGTTGTACCGAGACTAGGCACCTCCTCTTCTATTAAGGCTAAGTAAGGCAATCCCGGTAGGAGGAATAGGTTACAAAAGCTGACAACAGAATCAAAGTTGTTCTCACTGTTAGGAATCCCACAAGAAGACGAAGTTACACAGTTGTAATGCACACACACAGCCAGTGTTGGCCCCGTGCAGTCTTCCTGGTTGGTGGTTCAGTCTCTTTATGCCCAGGTTAATTGATTCTGTGGATTTTCTCATGGTGCCTATAACCCTACTGTCTCCTACAATCCTTTTCACCCCTTCTTCCTGATTTCCCTGGGCTCCTACAGTCTTTAACTGTAGGTCTCTGCATCTATTTCCATCAGGTGCTGGGTGAAGACTTTCTGACAGTTGGCATAGGCACCAATCTATGAGTATAGCAGAATATTGTTTTTTTGTGTCTGGGTGTTTTATTTGCATGTCTATCCACCATGTTTGCTGGAGGAGGCCAGAATAGGGTTTTGGATTCTTGGAGTCACAGATGGGTGTGAGCCTCCCTTTGGGTGGGGGGGCCTCTGTGGGTGCTGACAATTGACTCAAGTCCCCTGGAAGAGCAGCCAGTGCTCCTAACTGCGGAGCCATCTCTAGAATGACAGTGAAATTCTTAATGATAAGCCATATGGGGATGGCACATGCCTTTGCCCAGCACTCTGGGTGTCATAGGCAGATCTGAGTTCAAGGCCTTCTTGGCCTACAGAGAGTTCCAGGACAGCCAGGACTGTTGTTAAACAGAGAAACCCTTTCTTGTAAAACCAAAAGGGAGAAACATGAGGACTGATGGTAGGTGTGATGGTACATACTTGTTTTAATCTAGTCCTTGAGAAACTGAGGCACAAGAGTTCAAGGCCAGCCTCGGCTATGTAGTGAGACTTGTCTAAGGACAACAGCAGAAATATTTGAAAAATCATTCATTTTTACTGTTATTTATAAGCATATTAGTGAGCCTTTTTTTAATATAATTGTAATTTGAACCTGGCATTTGCTTGAAATTTTTATGTTGAATATAATCAAAGATAATCTGTACAGAAAACTTCTATCATAAATATTATATAGTTCAGGAGTTCAGGTAGCTGGGAAGAAGTCATGAGTGTTTATTTTTCTCTGATTAGGCATTTTCTGCCTTTTTTTCATGACAAAAAAAAAAGGCAGCCCTGTCTGGATTCCTTGGGGTGGGTGGGTGGGTGAGTGAATACATGGGTTAAATTTCTAGGAATTGTTGTTGTTTGTTGTTGTTGCGGGTACTGGTCATTATTCCTTGTGTGGGAACAGCTTTTGGTTGTCTTACTTTCCTCATCTTCCAAAGGTACATAGAAATACTTTTCCTCTCCTGTGAGTTACAAACACTGGAATAATAATTAAATAATGTGTATTGGTATCTAATGTTTGTCTTTTCTTTTGTTTAACTCTGCTCATTATAGAGGGGGGTGGGAAAGGGTGGGTAGGTGGGTAGGAGGTTGCAAAGTAATATGTTTTTAGGTCCATCCCTTCTGATAGATTGAATGCCAGTGTAAGTACCATTAGATGTTTTCTAAGATGGCTGTATTTGTCATTTTAGATAGGCGCCAAAGGCTGTATGTTGAAAGCTTCTAATGTTTCAGATACAAAATTGACAGCATTTTTCTATGTAGCCATTTAGGTATGAATATGGTTTGTATGTTTCAAGTGTCTAGGAATTAAGAAACTATAAGAAAATTACATAACTAAGGAGCTTTATAATGAAAAGCAATGATATAATATTTCATCATTAATTTTGTGGATTAAATGGAGTCTAATTTTGCTAAAAGGCTAGTAACTTTTAGAAGATATTAATAATATAGAGTCTTTTTCAGTTGTATGTGTGGAAGAATGGTATTGTAAGCTGTGCTTTCAAATAGAATTTAGAATTTAGAATCCTAGAATTTAGGAAAATGACCCTATAGTGTCATCTTACAGGTGGGTAGGGAGAAATCAGAAGATAATTTCCTATTAATCGGCAAATTTATTCAAATAATTGACCTTTAAGAATGAAGTGTAGAAGATTTTGTATAATTCAGAAACCGTGGGAGAAACAATTCTAGTGAACTCAGTTCATGTATGTACATTTTTCTTTAACAGTGGTTGGCACTTACCATGCTTCCCAGGACCAGCCCCATCAAGTGCCTGGCAACCACCAGCAGCCCCCCCAGCAGAACTCTGGGTTTCCACGTAGCAGTCAGCCTTACTACAACAGTCGTGGAGTGTCCCGAGGAGGATCTCGTGGTGCCAGAGGCTTAATGAATGGATACAGGGGTCCTGCCAATGGATTTAGAGGTAAACAAAGAAAGCAACTTCTGATTACCTTTTGCAGTTTCAACTCTTTTCTCATTTGTAAAATAGGTAAAGATTTGTCTCATGATTTTTAGGAAAGAATTACCTGTCTGTATTAGATCTTTAATGTGTAATTTAAACATTTGAAGTGTGTGTTGTATGTGCCTGGCTTCAAACTTGAGAACCTCCTGCCTCTGACTTTAGAGTGCTGGGATTAAAGGCATGCACCATCATCATGCCTGGTTTATATTGACAGGTTTTTTTTGTTTTTGGTGGGGTTTTTTTTTTTGCATTTTATTTATTTGGTTTTTCGATACAGGGTTTCTCTGTAGCTTTGGGGCATATCCTGGAACTAGCTCTGTAGACCAGATTGGCTTCGAACTAGAGATCCGCCTGCCTCTGCCTCCCAGGTGCTGGGATTAAAGGCATGCGCCACCACTGCCTGGTTAACAGTTTTTAAAATGATGAAATTGGGAGAGAAAATAGTGAGTTGTGTTAGATAGATGTGTGTTTATAGTTTAGTCTGAGTTAGCAGTTTGTTTAGGGGTGTGTGTGAGTATGTGTATGTGTGTTCATTCCTGAGCGGGCAGAAAGTACCATCTAAAGCTGGTGGTGCTTAGACATTGATAAACAGATTGGATCAAGACAGGGAATTCAAGAGTTGTTTAATTAAGTAGTGTGGCTTATTTTTATTACCCTTCCTTTTAAGAAAGCAGAGTCTTTGTAATTAAAAGTAAAATTTCCTTGTTCTAAATTTTAGGAGGATATGATGGTTACCGCCCTTCGTTCTCGAATACTCCAAACAGTGGTTACACACAATCTCAGTTCAGTGCTCCCCGGGACTACTCTGGCTACCAGCGGGTATGTAAGCATAGGGTGGATCTCAGTAACTAAGTGATCAGGGATTAATTTTGGAGTATCCAGCATACTTTGCTATAAAAATATTGGCTTTGGCTTTTTTGTTTTGTTTTACAAACATTCGTCTATAACCACTTTATGTAGTTTTCTAAAAGTGGTTTCAAAACAGAACATACAAAAATATGACTGTAATACACTGATGTCTAGAAGAAGTTATGTATTCTGATAGTGTTAACCTATAAGAGTAAATATAGCTATGTAAAATTACTTTTTCTTTTCAGTACTAACTAGCTTGTCTTTTAGGATGGATATCAGCAGAATTTCAAGCGAGGCTCTGGGCAGAGTGGACCACGGGGAGCCCCACGAGGTAATATTTTGTGGTGGTGATCCTAGCTCTTATGTGGAGCTTCTGTTCTGGCCTTGGAAGAACTGTTCATAGTCTGCATGTAGGTTATATGTTAGGAGTGCATTTATCTTTTCCAGACGTGTTGCTAAAGATTAAATGAAATGCTCTGTTTCTAAAATTTCATTTTGAATCCAAATTTTAATTTTTGAGTGACTTTCCCTGTTATTGTCTTGAAAATCAGAACATTTTCTCTGCCTCAGAAAAGTGTTTTCCAACTGGAAATTTATTTTTCAGGTCTTAAACCTGCTAAATGTTTTTAGAAAGTACTTACTGAAACTTTTTGTAAGACATTTTTGGAACGAGATTGAACATTTATATAAATTTATTACCCTCTTTGATTTTTGAAACATGCATATTATATTTTAGGCCCAGAAATCCTTTAATGGCCAGATAAGCCACAAGTATATCTAGAGAACCATTTAGAAGTGACAGACTAATTGTAATTTGACTACTTTTTGGATCAGTGTTAGTGATTTAACTATCAAATGTGTTTAAATAGAACTCCCAAATTCTTAGCAACTTAATTACTTTGGAGTTAAACATTAGAAGTTTATTTTGTTTCAATTGTATTTTAAGTAATGGAAAATAATTTCTCACGTGGGCAGGAAGTTAATCTGTTGATCAATTAATTACAGACAGCATTTCATGTAATCTGAAGTTCTAAATGGTTCTCTGGTTAAAGGAGGTTAAAGAATTAGGTTTTTAACAGTTATTGGCTGGCCATGACATGTATAAAATGTATATTAAGGAAGAATTATAAAGTACTTTAATTTGAATGCTAGTGGCAATTGACCATTGAGGAAGTGCTTTTCAAAAAGTTAAAAGGTCATCTGGGAAATACTGACTTGAAGTATCAAAGGTATTTGCATGTGAATGTGGGTTATGTTCTTCTATCCCACCTTGTAGCATATTCTATGAAAGTTGATTTAACTGATAGATAAAATATCTGTTTTAACAGCATGTAAAAAGTTATTTTACCTGTTATAAGTCAATATACAATTTTGAATGTTATGTAGTTTCTTTTTAACAGTTTAGGTAAAAAGGTCTGTTTTCATTCTGGTGCTTTTATTAATTTTGATAGTATGATGTTCCTTACTATTGAAATGTAAGCTAGCGTGTACATTAGAATGTAAGCTCCATGAGAGCAGGTACCTTGTCTGTCTTCACTGCTGTATCTATTCCCAACGCCTCATGACAGTGCCTGGCACATAGTAGGCACTCAATAAATACTTGTTGAATGAATGAATGAATGAGTACTGGTGGAATACTCCATTAGCTCTACTCTTCTTTTAGCTAGAGAACATGAGCAAATTTGCGAATGACAACTTCCAGGACAGGTGAAACTTGAACGCTGAAGAATTGGCCTCTTAGGCCTAATAATGTGCTGACAAGCTGCCCACATGCTTCTTGACTTCAGATGAAAGTCTGCTTGAAGGCAAAACAAATAATACTTGAAAGAAAAATCAAATGCCATTTTTGTCTTCTAGGTCGTGGAGGGCCCCCAAGACCCAACAGAGGGATGCCGCAAATGAACACTCAGCAAGTGAATTAATGTGATTCACAGGATTATGTTTAATCGCCAAAAACACACTGGCCAGTGTACCATAATATGTTACCAGAAGAGTTATTATCTATTTGTTCTCCCTTTCAGGAAACTGATTGTAAAGGGACTGTTCATCCCATAAAGACAGGACTACAATTGTCAGCTTTATATTCCCTGGATATGGAAGGAAACAATTTTTACTCTGCATGTTCTGTCCTAAGCGTCATCTTGAGCCTTGCACACAATACTCAGATTTCTCACCCTTGCTTAGGAGTAAAACATTATATTCTTACGGGGTGATAATATCTCCACAGTTATTTGAAGTGGCTTGGGGGGAAAAAAGCAAGTTTGACTTTTCGATATTGGATAAAATCTACAATCAGCCCTAGAATTAGTCACTGGTAATCGACAAAGTTAAAGCATTTTCCTTGAAAGGAAGATGAAAGGCGTGGAGTGTGGTTTGGCAAAGCAACTACATTTCACAGCTTGTCCCGTTAAATCGGAGCACCGACTGATTAGAAGCATACCAAATTACGCTTGGGTCCTTAATCACACAAGTGAGGCTGTCTACCAGCCTTGCCTCAGCACTAGTCACCTGGCCAGACGACTGTGATTAAAACACATGGAAATTATTACTTTTCAGTAGTGGATATGGTATAAGTCAAAGCCAAAATGCAAATTGGGCTTAGAGTGGCTCTTCTGGAAAAATATGCAACAAATACGGGGTATGATCTGGATGGGATGCTTCTGTACTCAATGTGAACTATTTAGATACCTTTTGAACACTTAACAGTTTCTCGGAAACAGTGACTTAATGAGGATTGGTACTGCTTGTCATTCCTCACGATAATGTGCATTGTCATCACTAATCCTTGGATCTTGTTGTATTGTTACCTAAATTGGTATAGGTACTGATGAAAATCTCTAATGGATGGATAATCATAACACTTTTGGTCACATGTTTTTCTCCTGCAGCCTGAAAGTTCTTAAAAGAAAAAGATAAAATGCCTGCTGCTACCACCCTTTTAAAATTGCTATCTTTTGAAAAGCACCAGTATGTGTTTTAGATCAGTTTCCCTATTTTAGGGAAATGACAAGACAGTAGTTTCAGTTCTGATGGCATAAGCAAAACAAATAAAACATGTTTCTAAAAGTTGTATCTTGAAACACTGGTGTTCAACAACTAGCAGCTGAAGTGATTACCCCAGCCATCATTAGTGTCACAGACATTGTGGTTATATCTGGCAGCTGTTTCTAAAAGAGTTTCACTTTCTTTTGTCTAATTTAACCCTAATTGAATTCTCCTTTTCTTGTGGAGACATTTATGTTCAAAGTGTTGGTTCTTTGCCTTAGATGCATAAGGAGAGTATACAGTTGGATGGAGATGGACGTTTAGCAGTGTTTAGCAGCCATATGTTCTGTGTTGGGTTTTGTGCTAGCAGTTTGAGCACTAGTTCTGTGTGCCTATGAACTTAATGCTGCTTGTTGTCCCCCTCCATTTTACTTCATAGAGAATTCATTCCTCATGTTAAGCAAAGGCTACTAAGTTAATGTTACTTTCTGTACAGAAATTAAAATGTACTTTTAGCCTTTAGCAAACATTTTTTTTTCCCAAGCAGGCAATTAGCTACTCAAAAACAAAACAAAATTATTCTCACATATTCATCATTAGACAACTGGAGTTTTTGCTGGTTTTGTTGCCTACTAAAAATGGTTAGGCTGTTGAACATTCCACATTCAAAAGTTTTGTAGGGTGGTGGATAATGGGGAAGCTTCAATGTTTATTTTAAAATAAATAAAATAAGCTCTCGACTTTTCTCTTGTGTGGTTGTGGTACATCATATTAGAAGGGTATCGGTTTACTTTTGCCAAGAGTATTTAGTCAGCACCTCTCCTTGTGTGCTTTAAATGACATCTGCCTGGGATGTACCACAACCATATGTCAGGTGCATTTTAGTGGGATGCATAAAATATTTATGGACTGTTGGATAATCTCTAGATGATGGGCTTTTGAAGTAATATAGATAACTAAATTTGATATGTGTAGAAAATAATTTCATGATATTTAGAAAGCAAAATCAAAGTAAAATAAGTTCTTCAGTATTGAATTTTAGTTCTGATGTGAATGTGGAGAATGTGTTCTGTTTCAGACTTCTACACATGGTGTAGAGCAGAATATGTACAATGTGTTTGTAGTTTGACCTATTTTTTAAGAGTTGCTTGATCCTTGCAAGACACCATCTAATTAGGTGTTATTGTACCATTAACATGTTCAATGTGTAAAACTTTTTGTGATGTCTGAAGTCCGCCTTTTTTTTTTTTTAAGGAATGCCTCACTAGACAGAACTACTAAAGTAGTTCCTTTAAGACCTGAGTTTTGATACTCAGTATCTTGTGTAATATGCAAATACTTGTCTAGATGCAGAAGACCTTTGGTCAAACGTGTATTTTAGCAGAGTACAGGGAAATGATTGCCGCACATATCTCTAGTGCAGTAAGAATATAAAAGATCTTGTACATGCACAATTACCAATATGTATATATGCTACATGTATAATGAAAATGCCCCCCCCCCCAAAAAAAATCCAATTAACTCTTAAGGTAGCATGTCATTGGTTACTTTTTGGTTAGGGCTATTTTATTAGCAGCCCCTAAATATTCCTCAAAGAAGAGTTTTTCTTCTTTTGATCATTGTTTCTTGACATTAAAACACATAACCTTACAATGATTGTAGTAAATTAGCTTCTATAGTTCTTTGTCTTCATATATGTACATACACACATGCACTCATACAATGCTATTGTATAGAGATGTCAAGGAGACATGAGAATGTGTGCTTATTCTCAGGTTCATTCACTAAGGTGCTTAGCTGACAACCAATTTATAAGTGCAGAATACAGTTGTGCCAGGCAATTTGTTGTTTGCTATATTTTTGATGGTACATCTGATTAAGGGAAATGACTGAATTCATACCCTTCTTTTCATCCTGGAGCTTCTGAATCTATCCCTTGTGAGTTACTCTTAGTTTTATTGACTATTAGTTCTACTTCAGCCAGTACTGCCTTGAGCTTGTCCCCTTATGGAGTTCATGGGATAGAGCTCTAGGAAAATTGAATCAGGCTTTTTCTTTACTATTTTGAATTTATAAACATCCTGGAAAGACTAGGGAATTTTTATAATTTCATTAGATTAAATTGTTTTAAAACTTAGTTGATTATAGTCCTTGAGCAAAGCCTGTGAGTTACATACATCTTAAGGAAAACTTAAATCCTCCTTTAAGAGAAGATAAGATTCTGGTTCTGGTCTTTATTTTTTTCTTTTTTAAAAAAAGAAATCACCAACTAGACTACTGGATGCTTTCAGTCTTGTCCTAGAAGTACTATACATTGCTGAGCTGTTCTGATGCTTACCCATTTTCCTGCAGCTGCGTTGTTCCTTCACTATTGACATTGAAGCAGTTTCTCAGATGCACTCACTTATAGTCAGATTTTGGTGTATTTATTTGTAAGGATTTCCTGTAAGTACTGTATTTCTTTAGGGAGGCAACGTGAACTTTATTAGCACAGTTAGTTGGGCATTATGGTCAGTATTAACAATTCAGTGGTGTCAAAAATAACCAACCTGGACACTGGTGGAGTGGGCCAACTGTGTGGTAAGTGGCATGATTCAACTGGTTAATAAATCTAATGTGGTCTAGTCTGTATGATCTGAAGAGACTTCATTTAAAGAGATGACTGAACTAGGATACATAATGAGGAATGGTAAACTAGACAAGAAAAGCAAGGAGGCCTACGCTTCAGTGACTGCTGTTTGGTGTAAGTGTTAGCAAGAATTGGCTGGTGAAACTCCTCAAGGGCAGTTTTTCTTCCATGATTTGTTTTTGTCTAACATGTGGAAGATATTAAAGATTTTACAATGGTGTGTGTACTGTTTAGGGGTTGGGGTAGTGGGCCATCCAATAAAACTGCCATTTAAAAGACCCTCACTGCAGTGTTGAGAACAAAAGTTTATGGGTCAATGGAATGTAAGAGGTACATTTCGGTTTTAGCAGCAGAAATTGAGGTGTAAGAGGGCAGTAGTGAAAGGTATCAGGTTCCCTGTCACCACTGAGGAGTATCTTTGGTCAATGGGCTTCATCTCTGGTTATACTTACGAAGGTGACTTAATCCAGTTCCACTGTTTTTATATCATCAGTTCTTTTTAGTTTGTCCAGAAATACCTAAGTTCCAAGCCCCTCAAATTCAAAGCTCATCCTAAAGTACTTGATAGTAGGCCAGCGAGTTGGCTCAGTGTGGCCAAACCTGACCAGAGTTTTGAGTCCTGAGACCCACGTGGTCAAAGGGAGAATCGTCTTCCAAAAATTATCCGCTAACCTCAGGTGTGTATTGCCATGCCCATACTCATCATCTCTCAATAAACATATTTAATAAGGTTTTTGGTTGTCTTAGATATTCCAGTCTTGCGGAGTACTCTATGTCAACTGTTTTTAGTCTAACCGCTTGATGGGGGAGGGTGCAGTCATGTAAAATCACATGGTTACATGGCTTTGACAGCTCAGCCACCAAGCACGTGTCCACTTCCTGTTCCCTGCCTCTACATTGTTGACCAGAAATACACAATATTTTACGGCAGTTTCCCGTTTGTGTTGTTAATGGTGGTGTCATCAATTTTGTAGTGGTTAGGAGGTAAGCTCATTTTTGTCGCCAAAATTCTAGTGGGTTCGGTCCACTTCTGCGACATTAGCTAGCCTAACATTTACCCACTTGTTCACTGTAAGTAGAACATTCTTAAGGGTCATTTCAAAATTTGGGGTATTGGTGTGTGTCACAGTATTCTGCCCATTTTATGCAGTTCGGGTAGTTTTATTTTCTCAAACTCATTTAGTACTTACGTATTAAAGGTAAGATCATTTGGTACCTATTAGCAGACTTCTTGTCACGGTAAAATTTTGTTAAGTGAGTCAACGTGTAAGTAGATTTAAAACTGGGGAAGGAATTCGGTTTTGTACATTAGAGCTTACGGTTACGGTTTCCAAAAGTGCGGGGTATATAGAGTCAACGTGTCCTGTGCCCAAAAGAAGACAAATACTTCAGGATTTTTGTGGAGGTGGTTGGACGAGCTTCCTGCAAAAGTGCAGGAAAGATAAATAGTGCCCCGATTGGATTTTCAGAACATTCGGAATGATACGGGTCTGAGAAGAACCTGTAGCACAGCGACCACGGTCGTGGGTACAGTTTACATCTGGTTGGAGGGTCGAATGAGACGTATAAAGAAGCTCCTGGCTTTCATATTCTATTAAAAGTGGGGGTCTATAAAACTGTACTCATGCTTCGAACAGCTGTTGTCTCGTGCACCCAGGCTACAGTGGCGTTCTCTAACACGTACACCAGATGAGTTCGGACACCCGTCGCTAAAGCCAGCTGCAGCGCGCACATATATAAACAATTATTTCCGTCGGCCATAACCAGGTTCTGGGGTCAGATGCAAATCGTATGCAGCATAGCTTCAATGGCGACCGGAAGCTAGTGCGCAGCCTCAGTAGATACCGACGTTATAGCTCTTACGTTAAATATCGCGTCATCACCAAGCGCCGAAGCAAGGGAAGGTCCCATCACACCAGCGGTCCGTCCCTGCCCACTGTTGAGCTTTCCACACGTGCTGTCGGCGTGTCCTCAAGCGCGCAGGTCTCCGGAGCGGCTCGGTGCCCTCACGTATTTGGGCTGTGCGGCTGACCGGATTCGGACGGACTCTGGACGCAGGTACTTTGAGGAAAGGCAGGTACTTTTGAGGAAAGGTGTTCTTTCCGAGCCCACGGGGCTGGGTCGAGGACGAAAGCCCCTGCCTGGACTGAAGCCGGCATCTTTGGGCTGCCTGTCTTCTGGACGCCCAGCAGACAGATTCTCCCGGTCTCGGATACGCAAACATCCTCGGGGCAGGTTTTTTGAGCACTTCCAGGGGTGCGTGACTCCCACACTCAGGGATCTCTCTAATGGGGGGAGTGCAGAGTGGGTGGGTGTCAAAACCGCTTTCCGAGAAACGTGCTCAGTTCCTGGTAGGAATGGTAGATTTTGAACTAAGGCGGGTTAATCCCTAATCTTCTGCTCCGAAGTACTGTAGCGTATCCGTTCGTTGAGTTTCATTCAGGACGACAGACAGTGCATCTCGCCGCGCCTGGCACAGGGTGCTTGCTGTGTGCACAGGAATGGATACAGCGGCGGTTCATCTGGCTCAGTGTTTGTCAACCTTCCGAATGCTGTGTTCCTCAGCCTTAAAATTCTTTTCATTGCCTCTTTATAACTGTAATTTTGCTACTGTTATGAATTGTAAATATCTGAAGTTTCCGATGCGCTTACCGTGAGGGGGTCGCGACCCAGGTTGAGAACCAGTTGATCTAGCTGGTCATGGTGGCCCAAACCTTTAATCTCAGCACTTGAGAGGCAGAGGTGGGAGAATCTCTTAGTTCGAGGCCAGCCTACCTGGTCTACAGAGTAAGTTCCAGGACAACTCCGGCTACACAATGAAACCCTGTCTCAAAAAGCCAAGCAACCAACAGAACAGCTGTGCAGTGTGGTCTCGCTACCACTTGATAAACCATGGCTGGCTGATAGCCACTGGATGCCCATCTGTAGCTGAAGAAAAGAGTGGAGGGGAATGGATGGGATTGGGAGGAAGGAACTGGAAAGAGGGGAGGGAGGGAAAACTTTGGTAGCAAGAGGAGGCATCTCTTCTATTACGGCCGGATGAAGCACTCCGGTGGGATGTCCCAAAAGCAGGCAGCAGAGTCAGAGACAGCCTCTGCTCCCACTGTCAGGAGTACCCCCCAAGAAGACCACACTGCACAGCTGTAAAATGGGCAGAAGGCCTGGGTCAGTCCTGTGCAGGCTTCCTGGTTCTCAGTTCTGTCTCTGAACCCTTGGGAGCCCAGGTTTGCTGGTTCTGTGGGTTACTTGTGATGTCCTTGACACCACTGGGCCCTCCAATCCTCCCTCCCACCCTTGGCAGGATTCTCTGAGCTCTGCCTAAGATTTGACTGTGGGTCTCTGCATCTGTTTGCACCAGCTGCTGGGTGAGTTATCTCTGATGACAGCTGGGCTAGGCACCGATCAGATCAGTTCTGACTGGTCCACATATATGAATATTACAGAAATCAAATCGTAAAAGACAAAGCATCAAAATAAAAACCATTATTTAGAAATTACATTAAATTTTGGGCTTTTTTTGGTTCCCCCCCCCCCCCCTTGTGCTATGTATGTGTATCAGAATGGTGTTCACAGTGCTGGAAATGCTGCTTAGATGTTTACTTGCCTAGCATGCCTGAGGCCTCAGGTTTGATTCTCAGCATAGCAGAAACTCTTGTGTGGTGATATACACCTGTACTTTGAGCAGTTTCCTGTAATCCGAGTACTTGGAAAGTGGAGGCAGGAGGATTGGAAGGTTAGGGTCATCAAGTCTATAGAGATGCCATTTTATACCTTAATCATTCTTTCTTTATTTATTTGGTTTTGTTTTTTCAATACAGGGTTTCTCTGTGTCGCTTTGGAGTCTGCCCTGAAGCTCACTGTGTAGACCAGGCTGACCTCAAACTCACAGAGCTCTGTCTTCCTCTGCTTCCCTAGTGCTGGGATTAAGGAGTTGCATCACCACCACCTAGCTTTTATTTATTTTTACCACATGTCCTGACTCCTTTCCCTTTCTTTCTTTGAGACAGGGTCTCCCTGTGTACCCCTGGCTATGGTTAAACTCACTATGTAAACAAAGCTGACTTCCAGCTTACAGAGCCTGCTTCTGCCTCCCCCAGTTTTTCTTCAAATTTCTTGCTTAAGAACACTTGTCTCTTATGCCTTAATTTCCTGATTATAAAACTGAGACCTGTGGAGTTGTTTGAACATTATTGTAATTAAGATTACAAATGTGCCTGGCACAACCCCACAGAAGCCAGCTAGCTGGTGCAACTTACTCGGATGTGCTATTTAGTTCATCTGCATCTCCTTTATTTCTGTTTTAGTGACAGCCTTTCACCATGCATCGGAAAAAGGTGGACAACCGAATTCGGATTCTCATTGAGAATGGCGTAGCTGAACGCCAGAGGTCTCTTTTTGTTGTAGTTGGGGATCGAGGAAAAGATCAGGTAAGACCTGGTAAATGCTTTGTGTTCTGGCAGGTTACCTAGGCCATTTGAGGTTTCAGCACACAGTGCCATTAGGCCCTCTTGGCTGGTAAAGTCCCTAGTGGGATCATTTATTCAGTGCCTGGAAATGGTAAATTTTTTATATTTAGATTTATGAGTGGGTGAGCCAGTATCTTTAGAATGCCGAAATGATGGGCTGACCTTAAGGTTAAGCATATGTGACCTGGCTCCTGGTTTCCATCTGGTTATTTCTTGCCTTGTGACCTTGGTGCTTTTCAAATGAGGTCTTGGGCCTGGCGGTTCTTATGGTGTCTTTGACACTGAGATTCTGTGATTTTTCTTTCTTGGCAGGTGGTTATTCTTCATCATATGTTATCCAAAGCCACTGTGAAGGCTCGGCCCTCAGTCCTCTGGTGCTATAAGAAGGAGCTGGGGTTTAGCAGGTAAGCTTGACCTGGATGTCATCGCCACCTTTCAGTTCCTGCTCTTTAAACTCCAGGAGAAAAGCCCTCGAGAATGTGTGAGGATTACCACTATTGTTCAGGACGTGTTTGCCCTAAAACAGCAGCCTTTGAGTTTCCCAGCCACCCCTTTCCTGTCTGCTTCTGCTTCAGATCATGATGGCACTGCTCATAGACATTCCTAGAGGTTTAATGCCGAAGGGAACAACACTGCTCCCTTTCTCCCCTTCAGAGAGTCCTTAATAGGTTCACTGTTTATTATGCAGTTGGTTATTTTTACACCACCCCCACTGTCTTACCGCTGAGCTCCATGTCCAGACTCCTGGTGATGAGCTGAGGAGATCATTCATTAGCAAGAGCACTTGCTGTGCAGTCCTGTGGACTGCAGTTCAGACCCAGCAGCCTCACCACAAGCCGGGCTTCCTGCAGATGCCTTCAGTTCCTGTGTTCATGTATTCACGCAGGCACAGGTACAGATACACACAAATAAATGAGTCTTTTCAGAAGACGTGCAGGGGCGCTCCAAAGCAAACACACGTGGGTACCTTGGGACTGCTTGGAAATAGCACAGTTCAGGGCCTGAGGGGTTAAGTTTTCAGTTCTGCTTAGGGCTGAGTAATTTGGAGCCTGAGTGCATCTGTTTCTTGTCTTGATCATCTCTCATGTCTAAGAATCTGTGTTATGTCTAAGGGTAATTGTATGGAAGTCAGTCTTTCTCCCAAAACTCTTGTGGAAAGATGCCCCGAAACAGGGCATCTCATAGTAATATGGTTAGTCATGTGGGAGAAACCTGGCAGTTCTCCCATAACTCTGGGGGAGTTTGAGATGGAGTAGGCATTACACCTCTCAGGTACCTGCTTTTGTGGCTCCCCTGAGCTTCCTCAGCCCACCCCCTGAGGTCATCACTTGCCCTACCTACCTAGTACCTGTGGTTGTCCTGATGGTCCTCATTTGGCTTCTTAGCCTCAGATGTGCTCAGCTCTGTTCACTCTCAGGTCCTAGCTCGCCTCTTCTTCCCACACTGCAGCAAGTCTCCCTGCCAGCTCCTGTGCTGAGGCTGCCGTTTCCATCCCCTGACATTGACTGCTGAGATCCCTTGTTTCCTATGTCGGCCACCTCCTTGAAGCTCTCTCCAGCTCTTCTTAATGAGATTCTCCTCTGGTCTGCAGTGTGGATTGATGACCTTTTTTCCTGTCTGGGCAATAAACTTATTTTGTAGATGTTTTCTCTCATCTTTCTGGTTTCTCTTTTACAATCATATTGTGTTTGTGAGTGGTGAGGGAGAGGGAGAGAGGCAGATGTGGGGGCATGCAGTGCCATAGCACACACGTAGAAGTCAGATGACTCCTGCAGGAGCTGGTTCTTCATCTACTGTGGAATCTCTTAAGCCCCTCCACATGAGCAGTGGCTGCTCTTCAGCAGAAAGTGCCGAACCATCTTTCAGACCCCTCCATGCATTTTTAAATGATCGATAATAAAACCAGCTTTGTATGTTAGAATTCTGTTTAAGGCATTTTAACTTTGCTGTTTTTCTCTCTTTCTCTTCTTTTCCTTTTTTTTCCCCTTTTGAACAGAGTTTCCCTGTGTAGCCCTGGCTGTCCTGGAACTTGCTCTATAGACCAGGCTGACCTTGAACTCACAGAGATCCACCTGCCTCTGCCTGTGCTGGGAATAAGGGCAGTCACCACTGCATGACTGATTCTGTGTTTTTTTTTGTTTAGTAAATAAGAGATTGATGTGGAATCAGATAGCACTCAGTATTCTGTGCAGATTTTCTTTTCCAATTTAACTTACCTGGTTTCGCGTTTTATAATTGTTCTGTGGCCACCGTCTTTGTGGTAGTGACTCTCGTGGCTCTTGTGTGTAATGCCAGCACTCAGGAGGCTGGGGTGGGGAGGATTGCCGAGAATCCCAGTGGTACAGAGTTGAGACACTGTCTCAAACAATGAAGGAGAGTGGGAATCTGTCTGTGCCTCTTCTACCCCTTCCAGCCGACTTCCAGTCTTGATTTTCCCAACACGTTGAAAGAAAGGGCTTAAGGAAGGAGTCAGAAGTAACTTTGTCCATGGGCCTCAGTTAGCTTGGGAGGTAATGGCCCACAAAGGAACACCTCAGTTCTAGCTTTTAAGTTTGAAAACAGCTGGGCGGTGGTGGCACACACCTTTAATCCCAGTACCTGGGAGGCAGAGGCAGGTGAATCTCTGTGAGTTCGAGGCTAGCCTGGTCTACAGAGTGAGTTCCAGTTCAGCCAGGACTACACAGAGAAACCCTGTCTTGAAGGAAATAAAAGTTTGAAAACAGTGATTGAGTTGTCCTTAGCTGGAGCTGAGGGAGCAGCTCAGTGGGGTTTGCCTTCCAAGCGTGAGGACCCGAGTTAGATTCCACAGAACCACTTACAACCCAAGAAAGCCAGGATTAGTGTATAACCTGTGGATAGCTGGTGCTGATGGCCAGCCTCGCTTACTGGACTGGTTCCAGGACGGTGAGAGAAGCTGTATAGAATTGTCAGCTAGAGAGCTGGGCGGTGATGGTGCACGCCCTTCATCCCAGCGCTCGGGAGGCAGAGGCAGCTAGTTCCAGGACAGGCTCCAAAACTACAGTGAAAACCTATCTCAAAAAACATTTAAAAAAAAAAAGTCAACTAGAGGCCACCACTATTCTGAAAGTCTCTTGGGTTGTTTTATAAAGGACTAATGGGAACTGGAGAGATGGGTCAGTGGTTGGAAAAACTAGCCGCTCTTGCAGAGGACCCGTGTTTGATTCCCAGTACACACATGGTGCTGCACATACATGGTGCACAGACATACAAGCAGGTAAAACACCCATACACATAAAAATCTCTTTAAAAATTGAATAAAGGACAAGTAGTTTCTCAGGGATATCTAGATCCTGTCTCAATCCTTTGTTTTCTTAGTGAAACACTGCCTTTGAGATGTGACCCATACAGAGAAGAGAGGGATTTGTCTAGGAAACATGAGTGTTGTAACCTGCTAGCCTCCCATCTTTTCCAGCCCTTTGGGAAGCAGCGCAGTTAGTAGAAACATTGGTTTCAGACTTAAGGTAACGAGGTATCTAGGTTTGGTTTTAAGCTTTGGTTGTGGCCAAATAATTAGACTTCGCTGCTCCTTTACCCATCTTTTACAGCAAATAGTGGAGTAGTTTACATGTGTTCCAAAGTGTGCCTCACGTGCCTGTGTGCGTGTATGTGTGGAGGTCAAAGGACAGCTTTGTTGAGTTGGTTCTCTATCTTTACCTGGGTTGTAGGATTGGACTCAGGTTGTCAGACTTCCTTGGCATTCGCCCACTGAGCTAATTGTCAGCCTGCAAAGCCTGTCGCGGCCACACCGTCCCAGTGCACCTCCACTGTCCTTCCCCTGAAAGTGAAGCAGTCAGCCCTGCTGCACTCAGCACCTCTTGTTCCCACCAGCTCTGTGGGTCTGAGGGTCACTGAGTCTCTCTTGCCTGTTCTAATTGCCTTTCTTGGGATGGTGGTATTGCAGTCACCGGAAAAAGAGAATGCGGCAGCTGCAGAAAAAAATAAAGAATGGCACCTTGAACATAAAGCAGGACGACCCCTTTGAGCTCTTCGTGGCAGCCACAAACATTCGCTATTGCTACTACAATGAAACCCACAAGATCCTGGGGAATACTTTCGGCATGTGCGTCCTCCAGGTGGGTGGCTTCTTCCAGCCTGGCATTTCTGGGTGTGGGGGTGGTGTGGTGGCTTAGACTGCCTGATTCCCCACTGAGAACAGGGATACAGTAAGTAGAGAGAGTTCACGTGCAGATAGCACTGAAGATTTGCCCACTTTTAAAAGGAAACTCGGTTACTTGCCCTATATAAAAATTCTATAAAAATTTCTGCACCTGACTAGAGGTAGCAGAAAGTAGAGGGCTGCACTGTCCTAGGTGGTTCCTACCCGCCGTGACTGATACCAGTGGTGCACACCCTTGGATGCTGAGGCAGGAGAGACTTTAGACCAGGCTGGCCTTCACTGTGTGCTCCTGTCTCATAAAAGGAAACAGCAATCCAGCAGTGTGGCCTGGTCACCACAGGGTCCAGGTCTGTGCTGGAACTAAGACTCCTAGCCTTGTCCCAATTCCAGCCCTGCAGCTGCACACCACTCCTACCTGCTCTGAGCCACAGACACCCCCCCCCCCCCCCCATTCATTCCCATTCTGGTCCTTCAGAGCCGCACACTCGCTCAGCACAGCTGGTGAGGTTCTTCACTGGTGTTAGCTTCACCAGACAAGCTCATCAAACACTTCCCAGCTCAGGGGGTTGTTATACAGTGTTTGACTTTGATATCTGTGATACTCCTTTACACCCCACCCCGTGACAGAGTGTCTGCTCAGCTCCATTCATTTATTCGCATATGGACTATGACCATAATTATGTAAATTTGAAAACAGCTCACAAAATGTAAGTTATGAGAATGGAAAGTCAAGAATAGGCGTTCTTAGGTTTTTCTCCCCTCGTCTCTAGTGAGTTGTCTCCAGCAAGGCTGGCTTCCAGCCACTTGGGGTGCCTCAGTGGTTGTTTGAGTTTTGTTCTGTTGTTTTGTTTTGTTTTGGTCTCAGTGTTCTGCACTATTATCAGGCACTGGAATACACTGGCAGTAGCGCCCCCATGTAGTGTAGTTCAGTTTTGTCAGTTTGTCTACAAATTGTCCAGAAAAAGAAAGATACTTCTAAAATTGAAGTCAGTGAGATTTGGAAGACTTGCTTCCAAATAGTTTTTTAGATTATATTACCCAATTCTCCTGTACTCCAGGAATGGGCTGTCTCCTGTGGTACCCTTTGTTTGCTGGTGGGAAGATGTGAGAGGTGAGGTTTTGGGCTTGTGCCCTGAAGCCCTCATTGCTATACCACTGTCCATTTCTAAGGTCTCTGATTCCTCCTAGGATTTTGAAGCATTAACCCCAAACTTGCTGGCCAGAACTGTGGAGACAGTAGAAGGCGGTGGACTGGTGGTCATCCTCTTGCGGACCATGAACTCGCTGAAGCAGCTGTACACAATGACCATGGTAAGAGTGCTTCCTGACTAACAGAGCTCTGCTTGGGCTGTCGTGTGGGCCTCTCCAGTGGGTGCTCCGCACAGCAGCCCACCAGCTCCATCCCCTCCCTGCAGGTGGGACTTCTGCTCATGTGCCGAGTCTCCGAATGTCACATGTGTTTTTAGACAGGTACAGTTCCACACTGGCGAGGTGCAGTGCAGCTTTTGGTTGTTTTTGCTTTGTGATACAGGGTCTCGCTTTACAGCCAGAACTGGTCTTGAACCCTGGATCCTCCTGCCTCAGCCCCGAGTGCTGGACTTGCAGGTGTACACTACTGTGGGCCTGGGCCCAAGTTTGTGTCTCATACAGAGGGATGTGTGTACAGTTCCTTGCTGGCTCTCATCTTTTGAGGGGAACCAAAGTAATAGTTGCTGTTCTACTTCAGTCTGGCAAGAATTTAAACTAGGAGAGCTAGTGCCCCTACTAAACAAGGCAACGAGGAAGTGGGGCTGTCTTGCCAGGCCAGTGTCCTAGGAACCAAGTTTAAAGTTATCCCTGGGATCCAGTGGCTCAGGAATGGTACTGTGATCGGCTCTGGCATCCAGTGAGCTGTTTTCCTGGTGAGATGGACTTTCTTCAACCTGTAGGCTGTGTCTACCACTCCTACCAACACTTGCCACTAAAGGTCTCCTGGTACCTTCAGACATGTTTGGCACTTCTAACCCACGGCCTTTGCTCTGAATATTCCTTCTGGAATGTGCTTCCCTTGAATACCTGTATGAGAATGACCTTCAACGCCATCTTCTTTCCTTCTGCTAGTGATGGGATTACAGGCGTGGACCACCTAGTGGAGTAGGCAGTTCCATCTGTCACTCCTTTATCTGCATTGCTGTCTTAGTCACTGTTTTGTTGCTGTGAGGAGATACCATGACCAAGGCAATCTTAGAAAAGAAAGAATTTAATGGGGGGGGGGCTTGCTCACAGTTTCAGAGGTTAGTCTATTATGGTGGAGAGCATGCTAACATGGCTGCTGCTGGTACTGGAGAAGGAGCTGGGACCTTGTGTCCTGATCCATAGGCAGAGAGAGAGGGCGGGGGAGGAGGGCGGGGGGAAGCTGGCCCTGGCTTTTGAAACCTCAAAGCCCGCCCTAGTGACTTGCTTCCTTCAACAAGACCACAACCCTAATTCTTCTCAAGTGGTGTCACTGTCTGATGACTGATATCCTGGTCAGGGTTACTGTTGCTGTGATGAAACGCCGAGACCAAAAGCAAGTCAGGGAGGAAAGTGTTTATTTGGTTTACACTTCCGTGTCACTGTTCACTGAAGGAAGTCAGGGCAGGAACTCAAACTAGGACAGGGACCTGAGGCAGAGCTGATGCAGAGGCCATGGATCAGTGCTGCTTACTGGCTTGCTCTGCATGGCTTGTTCAGCTTGCTTTCTTGTAGAAACCAGAACCCCCATCCTAGGGGTGGCCTCACCTGCAATGGCTGAGCCCTCCACAAGTGCCCCACAGGCTTGCCTACAACCCCATCTTATTGAGGCAGTTTTTCAGCCGATGCTTCCACCTCTCTGAATACTCCAGCTTGTGTCAAGTTGACATAAATTAGCCAGGTTAACTAAGCATTTAAATATATTGGCCTATGGGGGCCATTCTTACTCAAATCACTACAACTGTGTTTCTTCAAAGCACTTGACAGCTCCCAAACGTTGTTTGCATTTTGTCTGTCCTCTGCTGGTGGACTTGGGGAGCAGACTTAGCTGTGTCCACCTGGCATGCATGAAGCACTCGTTAGATACTTGTGAGTGTACGAATGGGCGACTTTGTGCCCACGTAGTTTACTTACTCATTCTGTCTCTTGTGCTGGCTCCCCTGCTCATCCACTCTGCTTCTCGTTTCCAAAAGCCCTTCCCTGACTACCTTAAGTAAGTGGGTCTTGGCATTCGCTGTCAGCACGTGCTGTTTCATTTGTTACACTTACTTGTTTTTAGCTGTTGGCTCATACACTACGTGTGAACAGAATTCTCGTTAGTTTTACAGTGCACATGCAGCGTACCTGGCATTAGTTGGCATGTGCATTTAGCCGTGCTGTGGTGCTGGCTGAACCGTGGAAAGCATCAGTGGTAGGTGAGGGGCAGTGCATGGGATAGCGACCTTGCGTGTGTGTCTGATGCAGCACAGCAGAGGGGCGGTCTTAGTCCTCACAGGTTGCTGACATTACCGAGGGTAACGTTTCATGTTGCTTTTAGATGATTTTGTCAATGGATGTTGTCTTCGCTTTTTTCTTAGGATGTGCATTCCAGGTACAGGACGGAGGCCCATCAGGACGTGGTGGGAAGATTTAATGAGAGGTAGGTCTGCAGGTCAGTTCCTACGGTTGCTGGGAATCAGAACGGGAGAAATGTTTCTATCTTGGACCCAACAAATTTGCTCTTGTATCAGAGGGCTTTCAAAACCAAGTGAGGCTTGTTTTATTTTGAGACAGGTTTCTACTGTGTTGCTTTGGCTAGCCTCAAACTTAAGACTCACCTGCCTCGACTTCCCAAGTGTTTATCCAGCTAGCAGTGAGATCCTGATAGCAGCTGTACTTGTAAAACCAACTGGATGAAGAGAAAGGGCTGGGCCAGGAAACTGCACTTAAATCTTGCTGCTGATCTGACCAGCTGTGGCTCTTATCTTATTGTTCTGTCCAAGGGGTGGTTTGTCTGGAGCAGTGGTTCTCAGCCTTCCTAATACTGCAGCCTCTCAGTACTATTCCTCATTTGTGGGAAGTCCTACTATAAAATTATTTCTGTTACTACATAACTGTAATTTTGTGATTGTTATAAATTGTAATGTAAATATCTGATATTTGCAATGGTCTTAGATGACTGTGAAAGGGTCATTAGAGCCCCAAAGGGGTCATGACCCTGGTTAAGAGCTGCTGCTTTGGATTACTTTCCCAGAAGGCATCTCAGCATTAATTTTTGGGTTTTTTTGGGGGGAGAGGAAGTTTGAGACCGGGTTTCTCTGTGTAGCCTTGGCTGTCCTGGAACTTGCTCTGTAGACCAGGCTGTCCTCGAACTCACAGAGATCCGCCTGCCTCTGCTTCCCAAGTGCTGGGATTAAAGGCGTGCGCCACCACTGCCCGGCTAGAGCACTAGTCTTTTAGGAGGAACCTTGTGGTAAGAGGCTTTTCTGTCCAGTTAAGTCTGGGAAATGTTGATAGTTTTATGAGTTTGTTGGAGCTCCTGAAATGTTCTGCAGCAGCTAGAGCGGTAACTGTCGACCTGTGGGTCTCGGCCCCACAGAAGTCACATCAGATATCCACGTTATGATTCCTAACGTAATCAAAATTACAGTAGGAAGTAGCAGTGAAATCATTTTATGGTTGGGGGTCATCACAACATGAGAAACTGTGTTAAAAGGTTGCAGCATTAGGAAGACTTGAGAACCATTGAGCTAGAACGTGTTTAACTGATTATTTTTCCCTGGAGCCTCCTTCTTAAAGAACCTAAATAGCCAGTGAAACTCTGAGTCACCGGTTCTCAAGCTGTGGGTCATGAACCCTTGTGGGGCAGGGATAGAGTGAACCTTTCACAGGGGTTGCCTAGGACCATCGGAAAACAGAGATATTTACATTATGATCATAACAGTAGGAAAAATCAGTTATGAAGTAGCAAGGGAAATAATGTTATGGTTGGGGTCAGCACAACGTGAAGAACTCTAGTAAAGGGTCACAGCATTAGGAAGGGTGAGAATTGCTGCTCTAAGCTTTGGTCTAGATCAGTAGTTTTTTTTATTGGGGGTGACTTTGCCCTCTAGTACATTTGGCAATATCAGGAGATGTTTGACTCTGAGGAGGGGAGGGTAGAGGTGCTATTGGCACTGAGTACACAGAGCTAGGGTTGGTGCTGAAACCCCAGTGGACCAAACAGTCGCTGTGAAAAAGAACCATCAGCTCAGTTCTGCTGAGGCTAAGAAACCCTCCAGGCCTCGACAAGCTCAGGGGTCGTTCCGACTTCAGCTAAATATGATGCGGGCAGGAGAGGAACAATTGCTTGCTGGTGACTAGTGTAGATGCCTGTGAGTGTAGAGATAAGTCTGTGTGTGTGTGTGTGTGTGTGTATTCATGTTCGTGTGTGTGCATGTTCATGTGTGTGCAGATGCCCACAGTACCAGGAGGTAATGCGCTCCTGAAGTTGGTGTTACAGGTTGTTGTGAGCAACCCAACAAAGGTTCTTGGGAAACCCTCCTGGGTCCTCTAGAAAGGTAGCAGGCGCTCTTAACTGCTGGTAGTCTCTCTACCCCACCCCTTTTTCTTTTAAGATTTATTTTATGTCTATAAATTTTTTTTTGCATGTGTGTCTGTGCAGCACATGCGTCTGGTGTGTCTGGAGGTCAGGGAAGGGTGTTGGATCCCCTAGAATTGGATTCTGAACAGTTGTGAGCTGCCTTGTGAGTGCTGGGAGTCACACCTGGGACTTCTACAAGAGCAAGAGTTCTTAGCCTCCAAGAGACTCTTAAGGGCTTGCTGTTTAGTCATATTATTGCTGTGGTGACACCATGACCAAGGAAATGCTTATGAAAGAAAGCATTTAATAGAGGCCTCCTTGGGTCTCAGAGGTTTAGTCCATTATCATCATGGCAGACAGCGTGGCAGGATCATGGCAGCATCACTGGCCTTGGAGTGGTAGCTGAGAGAAGGAGGATGGCCTGGTGTAGGCTTTTGAAACCTCAAAGCTCCTCCCCCCATACTTCCTCTGAAAAAAGGCCACACCTCCTAATCCTTCTCAAATAGTGCTACTCCCTGATGACTATGCATTCAGATAGATGAGCCCATGAGGGCCATTCTTATTCGAACCACTTGCACATGCATGGAAATTAAGAGGGCTTTTTTCCCCCCTCTTCTCTTTTGCTTTTTTTCTTCCTGTGACAGGAGGCAGATTTGGGTTTGTGTTTCTCTGTTTGACTGGTGACCATATGTGGCTTGGCTCTGGAGTCCCAGCTGCCTTATTGCTAAGGAGCTTTGGGTAGGGGGTGGGCCACACGATTCAGGAGCAGTGGGTGCCTGCTGACAGTGGAGCTCCTGGCTAGGGTCCTAGGTTTGCCTGTATAAATACACTCGGGTGACTTGCAGAGGTGGCTGAAGCATCTCATTGAGTTTCACCTGGGTTCTGACTCTGGTGTTTCCTAAAGAAACTTGAGTCTTGCTTAGCTGTTGCCTGCCTTTCCTGTCACCTCACTGCAGCTGCTGTGTCCCACAGGTTTATTCTCTCCTTGGCCTCTTGTAAGAAGTGTCTTGTCATTGATGACCAGCTCAACATCCTGCCCATCTCCTCCCACATGGCCAGCATTGAAGCCTTACCTCCTCAGGCCCCAGTGAGTCTGGGTTAGGGGGACCGGGATCTGGAGGGTGTTGTATAATTTCCTTGTGAGCCCTTAGGCCAGGGCAAACTGCTTTCTCTTCTCTGATAGGACGAGATGCTCAGCCCTGCTGCTCTGGAGCTGCAGGAGCTGAAAGAGAGTTTGCAGGACACTCAGCCTGTGGGTGTTCTGGTGGACTGCTGCAGGACCCTGGACCAGGTACGTGTGCACTGGGCCCCCTGCTGATCCTGACAACACAAGGTAGGACGTGTCAGCTCTACAGCGTCAGGGCTGCGCTTTCTCAGTCAGTGAGCCGAGGTGGGGATGGGTTGTATTTAAAGAGGAATTGTCTTCCATAGAGAATGATAATTCTGTGTTCTTTAATTTCAGCTAAGTTTGGTGATACAAAAGGTTTCGTTGTGTTGTGTTTTGTTTTTTCCTAGACGTGTTTCTGTGCTTGCTGATGTGACCGGCTAATTTTATTCATTGGCTTCTGGGCCATGATGCTTTGATAGTTAGCATGGCCCAAGGCCTCAAGCTGCTGTGTGTTCTGCCCAGCCTTGGTCAGATGAGCAGCACAGTACTCCTCCCTCCTCATAGACAGCAGCTACAGTGTTACCTCCCCCACTCAGCACTGAGTTTCAGTAGGCTGGCTTACCTTACCACTCTGGAAGCACGGGTCTAAGCTCTTTGGGTGTTGGCAAGGTTGCAGCCTCTAGGTTGTTTTAAATCACTCCCGGGCTAGTGAACGAGAGAACAACAGGATTTGAGAGAAACTATAATACTGGGAACAGCATTACCAAATAAAAGCAGCTTACTCAGGAGGCAGAAGCAGGAAGATTGCCGTGAGTTTAGTCCAGGCTGTGCTATACAGTGAAATCCGTTCTCCAGAAAAAAAGGCGGAGGCTCAGTAGAGTGCTCTCCTGGTGTGGATAAAGCCCGGGGTGGATCCCCAGCATTGCTTAAACTGGGAAATTCTATTGCTCTGGAGGTGGAGGCAGGAGACCCCAAAGTTCAAGGTCATGGTGGGCAACTGTGAGTTCCAGACCAGCTTGGGATACATGAGACTCTATCTTTGGAAAAAAAAAAAAAGTCATGTAAAACAAACCAGTTAGTGAAGCATAAAGGCACACATGTTAATGAAACACAAAGTAGCGTCTGTGTTTCCAGCTGGTTTGCTATTACCAACAGTAGCGCCAGGTGTGGTGGTGTGTACCTGTATTCTGCATACTTGTCCAGTGACTGACAGGAGGGTAATTGTCTCTGAGGCCAACCTGGGCTGTCTCAGAAAAGAATTACTATTAGGACATTCTCCCAGATGGACCTGTGGCCATTATGGATCCAGGAGCTGCTGGGTCAGAGATTGTGGGCATTGGAATGAGTGTGCTACCAGCTGCTGACAGTGCAGGAAAATGCTTGTCTTCCAGATTTCTCTACAGTTACATTTGAGTCTATGCTAATCAGATGTGGGAACGTCTGATCATTGTTTTTAATGAGCAAGGCAGGCAATGATTATTGGTTATTTCTGTTTTGCTTTCCCTTTTGGTTATCATGTCTGCTCATGTCTGTATTAACTTATATATTTGTCTTTTTCATGTTAGCCTTTCATTTTAGATAAATATTTTAGGATACATTTTAGTCTATTTATTTATAGTTAGCATTTAGAACTTCACTTCCCTAAAATTTAAGAAGTAAAATGTAGTTCAGCAAAGGCCAAGTTAGTACCTGAAGCCTCAGTCCCTTGTGTGTTTCCATCAGAAGAACTTGGTGTCCTGAAGCCCTTCCCCATCGGTACTGGGCCTTCATCTTAGAGCCACGGCCTTAAGAGCAGGACTTGCTCCTCAGGACCTTTCTCAGACCTCCTCAGGTATCCAGATGTGATCCTGAGTAGTAGTGCGGCTCCCAGTTAGTCATTGTTTCCCTCTAGCATGGCTGGGTGCCAGGCGTGGCAGTGAATGAGGATACTTGCTTCAGAGCTCATCCTCTGTAGGATGAGACAGGTTCTGTGTGGAGGAAATTAGCAAATCATACGGTATAGTGGTAAGTGCTGTGTGGAGCAGAGAAAAAGGGAGGTGGCTTAGAGGCCTCAGCACACCAGGGGCTTCTAGGTGGAGCAGGGAGGGGTGGAGTCTTTTAGAAGGCCTTGAAGGAGCTTTGGAATGAGTTCCTGAGGCAGGACTGTGGTTTCGGTGCTTAGGACCAGCAGGAAAGCCAGCAGGGCTAGCAGCTAGAGGGAGGTGGACGTTGTTTGGGCCCCTGGGAAGTCCGAGGCGTGAGAGTGGTGACATCAAGAGTTTTGTGTGTCCCTTAGCACAGCGTGGACGCATCCCCAAGGCTTTCTTGTGGCTGCTGAGCTGACTGCAGGCTGTGGGAGGATGTGGGCCGAAGCAGGAAGGCTAATTATGAAGCTGCTGTTCTGGTGGAGTGAGCTGGGACAGGAAGGGCGGTGGGCAGAGCTGAAGAGGAGGGCACAAGGAATGGCGGGACCGTTCTGAACGTGTCACTGAAAGGACGTGCTAGAAAGCTGGGGTTGGGTGAGAAAATTGAGGGTTTAGCACAGAGAATTGAACAGTTAAACTCGGATGGGGAAGCTAATAGGTGGAGATTTAAGTATTGTTGGACTAGAAGTCCAAACATCAGGGAGAAGTTGCTCCAGACGCTAACTCACACAACCACAATTGATGCAAAAGCAAGAGGATTTTTATTCTGTCATGACTGGGCCCTTCAGGTTTGGGATATATGAAGGATTTCCGATAGCTGTTACAGCCCATCTTTTAAAGCAAAAAGCCACAGACAGAACGGGGGGAATCTGAAGGTTGTTTTCCAACTTTTTGGACTGGCTTATTTAAAAGGTCACTAGCAGTGATTGGTCTATTCCAGGGCAGGAGAATAGCTGCGTGGTCAGGTGAGATAAGGGGAACATCTGTGGGCCATCCTGACCTTGTTCCAGTGACTGAATCAATACATCAGGAACTGAGTCAATCCCCAGAATGGAGTTATGTTTGAAGATTATTCACAAGAACACAGGAGGATGAGCAGTCCAGCATGCGGGTGTGGGTGACTGTCCCATTTCCATATGTTAAGAGGCTTCAAAAAATGTCTTTAGAGCTGAGAGGCCTCAGAAATGCATTTAGGGTCTTTCAGTCTGAGATACCTGTTGTATGAGTGGAGCTGCAGAGCAATGCTTGCAAGCACCTGAGAGTATGGCAGTGGGGAAGAGTCTTATAGTGGAGACAGAAACTTGAGAGCCGTGGGCACTTGCTTGGTCCTTTTGGTCTTTTTGCTGTTGTTGTTGGTTCTCTCTCCCCCCCACCCCCAAGACAGTGTTTCTCTGTTTAACAGCTCTGACTGCCCCAGAACTCACTCTGTAGACCAGGCTGGCCTTGAACTCACAGAGATCAGCCTGCCCCCCCCCCCAATGCTGGGATTAAAGGCGTGCCTCAACATGCCCAGCAGTCCTTTTGGTCTTGGCAGAGCTGAGGAGCTGACCGAGGGAGTGCTGAGCAGTGCTTTCTGGCCTGTAGGGACTGATGCCCTTTTGGTTGGCCTCGGTACCAGCCTGACCTCTATACCCAGGTGGTGGTGAGAACTTTTTTGGGTGTTCACTTAATGTTTCCCTTTACACAGGCCAAAGCTGTTTTGAAATTCATTGAGGGAATCTCCGAGAAGACCCTGAGGAGTACTGTCGCCCTCACCGCTGCCAGGGGACGTGGCAAGTCTGCGGCCCTGGGCCTGGCTATTGCTGGGGCAGTGGCATTTGGGTAAGGGTTCCTTATGGGTAATGTGCAGGATTTGGGTCGGAAACCTGGTGGAGTTGTCTCTGGTTCCTCATCAGGGCTGGACACCTGTAAGTTCCCTCTAGGTCCTGGGCGCTTCTCTGGAAGCAGCAGCACTGCTCCCCTGGTCACTTGAGAGGCATACTGGATACAGAGGCAGTACCAGGAGCCTTTTGTTTACTGCTTACCTTGAACAAGTAGAAATATAAAGAAAGCCTGTCAGCATGAGTGTCATGTTATGACCTTGGTTGTTGGATTTCAGTAAGATGTTTTCTGTCCTTGTCCTGAGTGGGGTATTTCTGTAATTGCCCAGTGTGCTTTACCAGCTCAGATGATGGACCTACCACCCATTGTCCTGCATTTGCAGTCCTCCTTGGTGATGTGTATTGTAGGTGGAGGTTGCTCATTTGTCTCCTGGCCTCCCAGTCCCGAATAGTAACACACGAACTATATTAATTACAACACAGCTTGGCCTATTAGCTGAGGCTTTTTGTTAACTAACTCTTACATCTTAAATTAACCCATTCCAATTATTTTGTATTTTACCACAAGGCTTGTGGTTTACCGGTAAGGTTCCATGGTGTTTGTCTCCTTCAGCAGCTACATGGTGTCTCCTTGACTCCGCCTATTCTCTCTCTGAATCTCTTCCATCTTGACTATATTCTGCCCTGCTATAGACCAAAGCAGCTTCTTTTACTAACCAATGGTAGTAAAACATAGTCACAGCATGCAGAGGGGAATCCCATATCATTTTATAGTTCTGCAGCCATTTTGTATATGTTGTAAACCAAGGCCCAGGGAGTTCTAATGACTACCCAAGATCCCTCAACAAGTTGTTACTGGGAGAGCTCTGGCCTTGGCCTCAGCATCCACTGAACCATGACTTCACAGTTTCAAAACAGGCTAGCTAGTGATGAGTCTGAGACTGTGTAGTATGAATAACAAAAACCCAGAGACAGATGTTGGGCTTCAATCTGAAGATCAGAAAAGCAAAACAGCCAGCCACTAGCTCTTACCTCTACCTCAGACCTGCCTCCACGAATCTTCAGATTGAGACTGAGAGTGAGACCTGTCTCCTCGCATTTTATATTCCCCTCTAGTGCTGGGATTAAAGGCGTGCATCACCTCTGCCTGACCTGTATGGCTGACTAGCGTGGCTGCTTTGCACTGATCTTCAGATGAGCTTATTTATTAAAACACAAATAATATGCCACTATTAAGTTGCTCTCTGGTCAGGACATGGGTTGGGGGCAGTGTGGGTTCTTGTAGTCTGCCGCTCAGCTTCTCTGAACTGATGAGGTAGCTGTGTTCCAGGGCTTGCTACCAGCACATCCGTAACCTGCTAGTATTGGTTTTGAAGAGGAGTGTGCTCAGGTCTCAGTTGCTTTCTTCTTTCTCTCAAAAGCGGTCTTCCTTCTCTCTGCTATGGACTCTGGTTCTCACCTGTGTGACAGAAGCAATCAAAAATGATTACTTAATTTTATTTTCTTCTTTAAAATGTCCTAAATCTCCTTATTTCTAAACCACCCTTCCCTCTTTCTTTTGTTCTTCAGGTATTCCAATATTTTTGTTACCTCCCCGAGCCCAGATAACCTCCACACCTTGTTTGAATTTGTATTTAAAGGATTTGATGCTCTGCAGTATCAGGTAGGAAAGCAGGGTAAGGCCGTCTGCTTTAATGCTGGCTGAGCCCTGCTCTGTGGGATGCTTGCTTTCTTGGTAGTCAGCCTAAAACTTGTCCTGGTTCACCTCTGTCTTCACCAGGAGCATCTGGATTACGAGATCGTACAGTCTCTAAACCCTGAGTTTAATAAAGCGGTGATCAGGGTCAACGTGTTCCGAGAGCACAGACAGACCATTCAGGTGAGACTCGTCTATGGGCCAGGGTCCTAGCTGTGTGGTGTCCCCGCGGATGTGACTGCTGGTCCTTGATACGGCAGTGGTGTCTCAGCTGACCGTGGAGAAGCATTCCGGTCAGCTAATAAAAATGCGTGTAGTAGGATTGAACAGCACAGTTTGTTTCTTGACTGAAATGAATGGGACTGAGGGTATGCTAATAAGTGAAAAGACTTCGTGGTTCTGGTCAGTTTGGGTTTTGCTGAGTAACGTAGGTTTTGAAATAGGATATCTGCAGCCAGAAAAATAACGTCACCATCTCAAAGGAAGAAGCTTTGTGCTGGGCATCTTTGTGGTTTAGCCAGTGCCCCATTTCCCTTTCAAAGAGCATTTTCCAGAAATCTCCATAAATCTCGAGCCCTCTGTAAGCTTAAATGCACTTGTCTGAAGGCTTCCGTGTTGTTCAGTCTCTGCGAGGCATCGTGTGTCAGGATTACAGAGGCACCAAGACCCACTGACTCTGGCTGACTGGATTTATTGATTGCTTTTGAAATTAGATTGGAATGGGGAGTCAACCGAGTGAACTTGGCAGTTTCTGATCCTTGAACTTTAGTCTGAGGAAGCAGTGAGGAGACCTGTAGAGGAGGCACAGCAGTGACCTGTAGAGGAGACACACCTTTAGACAGATGATTCACACCACTGTGTATGTCTTTACCCTAAGGTTCTTAATTAGTTTTATTAGATTACTTTTTTTTAAAAAAAATTATTTTATGTATGTGGATGTTTGTCTGCATATATGTCTTTGTACCACATATGTATCTGATGTCTGTTAAGGCCAGAAGAGGACTCTGCTTTCCTTGGAATTGGAGTTAAAAATGGTTGGATCCACCAGATGGGTGATCACTGGGAGAGCATCCAGTGCTCCTAACCCTAAGCCATCTCTGAAGCCCCTGGATCTTTCTCTAAGCTCATCATTTTGCCCATTTCATCCCACTGGTTACCTCTGCTGAGGGAAAGCTGCTGCTAGTGTGGGTTGGGGTGGATCTTGGGGGTAGGGTGGACTATTGGTTCTGAGAATACAGGGAACTGTTAAAACTCCAGAAATAATACACAAACCAGAGAAGGAAAACATTTCCCTGAAGTGCCCTAGTTTAGCCCCGGTTTCTCTTTAGAATTGTGTAGCCCAGCACCCTTTCTTTACAAGATGCCTCTGTGTGTGTAGACTCTGGATGAGTGCAGAGGAGGCGACTTGGCTTTCTAAGACTCCAGCTGTGTTCTTGCTAGGCTGGAGAGCGAGAGAAGAGCGTTAGATTACAGCAGGGTGCTCCCTGAAGGCCGCTTTCTGTGCTTTTATGAGATGATTGCTAGGAATCAAGGTGTGGGGCCCCACTGAAGATGTGAGACCAGGATCGAATAGGGCAGCTCCCTCCTTGATCCAGCCACCTCCAGAATAGCCTGATCTTACTCTCATAGGAAAGCACAGAGACCAGCCAGCACTCAGATGCCAGCGTTCACACAGGCGCCGCGCTGGCGGGCTGCTCTTGCTGCGTCTGTGTGCAGGCTGTGTACTGCCCTGCACCTTTTTATTCTGCATCTGTTTCCAGACTGTAGAGTGACGCTTGCAGATCGGCTTGATGCACCTTAAGTGCTGGGTGAGGAACTAGGATTTGGGTTTGTTTTGTTTTCTAGAACAATTAGAGAATTGTTGAGCTTTAGACTTAGATGTGTGTATGTCTAGTTTTGTGGGATTTCTTCCAAATTCTCCTTTACAGTGTTTGTTCCTAGTTATCCTCAGACCACTTTTTTTTTGAGTTTTTATTTTCCCAAGTCCTGACGCATTGTGGGTACAGTGCAGCAGCTCTGAGCTTTTGTTTTGTTTGCCCTCCGACTCACTGTCCTCCTGTGTAGGAGGAGGGCCCACTTGTTTGTCCTGGCTGCCCAGAACCAAGATAATCACACAGAAACTGTATTAATTAAATCACTGCTTGGCCCATTAACTCTAGCTTCTTATTGGCTAACTCTTACATCTTAATTTAACCCATTTTTATTAATTTGTATATCACCACGAGGTAGCGGCCTGCCAGCAAAGTTTCAGTTTCTATCTCCGGTGGCAGATCCATGGCATCCCTACTCCACCTTCTTCCTCCCACCCAGCATTCAGTCCAGTTTTCCCCGGCTATTTAAGCTCTGCCTTATCAACAGGCCAAGGGAGTTTCTTTATTCATTAATGGTAATCACAGCACACAGAGGGGACTCCCACATCACTCCTGTCTCAACTTTCTGATTACAGGTGTGAACCATCACACCTGGTTGTTTTTGTTGGTATTTGACTTAGTTTGAGCCATAGTTTGCCTGTGTTACTCAGACTTACCCTAACTAACTCACTGTGGAGCCCTGGGCACCTGAGAACTTCCTGTTTCACATCCTAAATGCCAGTTTACTGATCTGTACCACCGTGTGCAGTCTAGGAATTTGGGTTTTGTCTGTCTGCATGCTGTCTCCCACAGTTCTCTGATTATTTGTTAAATTGAATTATTTTTAATTTTGTAATTGGTTATTCATATTGCCTCTTTGACGTTTTAAAAATGACAAAAACCCCTAAAGAAATCAATGGGTTGTCTATAATACTTAGGACAACAATAGGGGAAAGGGACGGGGTGATGGGTATGGGGGATGTGAAGAACAATGTGGACTGGCAGTTTATCTTTGTTTCCTGACCACCGGGACTGCAGATTTGTGTGCTGCGCGTTTATGTAGGTGTTGGGCAGGATCCAAACTCAGGCCCTCATGTTTGTGCAACAGACACATTATTGACTGAGCCATCTCTCCACCCCCTCCTGTGTTTTGTAGAAGAAAGAACACGAGGCTCTGTGAGATGGCATTACCTGTTCAGGGTCACATAATCAGAATGAAGTGTTTGGTCCCAGGTGTCCAGCCTGAAGCCCATTTCATTCTTGACTTGCCTAAGTAGATGTGGGAAAGAGGAGGGGACAGTGAGAGCGGACAGAGCGGCCTTTGTGGTCCTCATCCGGGTGTGGTGACTTCGGTGGCCACACTTACGGTCCAAATCTTCTTTCTCTGCAGTACATCCACCCTGCAGACGCTGTGAAACTGGGCCAGGCTGAGCTCGTTGTGATTGATGAGGCGGCTGCTATTCCCCTCCCCCTCGTGAAGAGCCTGCTTGGACCTTACCTGGTTTTCATGGCATCTACCATCAATGGGTAAGGAACCTGGGTAGAGCTGTTACTCTTGTCTGTGATCTTGCAGACTAATTGAAATGTAAAGACTGATGGGTTTGACCATGCAAAACTATTCAGTATCAATGTGAGTCTGGGCAGCTTTGTTCTCTCGGGGCTTCTTCTGCAGAAACTACCTCTTCGCTTTTTGCTCCCTTCTGGTCTGATGTTAAGTGGGCACCATAAGACTGTAGAATCATGTGATTCATTCCTGTCTAAGTATGGTCAGGTTTTAAAAAGTGCCTGCCAATGCCTTAAATCTTAGAATGTGAAAATGTAATATTAAAATAGCCATAGTTAGCATTAAAACAGGCTTATATTGTTATTCTTAAAACTTTAAAATAGATAATTCACCTTATGTAGAAAATGGCAGAAAATAGGTAGCCGGCAAAAGGGAAAAGGTAAGCGATAGAATGCAAGGTTAGTATTGCTGAGGCCTTGGTTTAATCCCAGCACCTAGAAATTTCAGGAAGAAGGGGTTGGGAAGATGACTCAGTGTGTAAGAATGTTTGCTTTGGTAGCACAAGAACCTACTTTGAATTCCCAGCATCCGCATAAAAAGCTAACCATGGCTGTAACCTTAGTGTTGGGGCAGGTGATAGGAATCGGGAACAATCCAATTGGATCTGAGAGCTCACTGTGCAGCCAACCAAACTGGGGGAGGTGGACTTCAGTCAGTGAGAGTGTAACACAGGGAACAGTAAAGGAAGGAAACTCCCAATGTCCTGCTCTGGTCTCCACATGACTACAGTCTCATGTGCCCATACAAGCATATGCATGTATCACATGTAGGCCACATACATAGATAGACACATGAAAAAAAAGGAAAGAAAAATTCCTCATCACAGCTATGTAGATACTTTGTGTATATGTTCTATTCACTTAATTTTCATTTATTTACTTATTTATTTGTTGTTTTGAGACAGGGTCTTAACTATGCAGACCAGACTGGCTTTGAACTCAGAGATCTGCCTGCCTCTGTCTCCTAAGTGCTGGGATTAAAAGTGTATGTCCCACACTGGCCTTTTCATCTTGAACAAGAACATAAAGTTTACATACTGTTGTTAATATGTTTTACATATGTATTGTGAGATCTCTCAAGGTCAATAAAAATGTATATTCAGTATTGAAAAGATTCTTGTACAGAAATCAAATCTTTAAGAGAGAATTCTATATTTCAGATTTATAATTATGACTACTTAACATCAAAAGTATTTAAGTAGAACAGATTTTTACCATTAAAGCAGCTTTATTGTGATATGCTTACCAATGTCAAGTCTGTAATTCACAGTTAATAACCATGCTCACCACAGTCATGCTTTGACCTTCCCAAAAGGAAACCTTTGCAGGGTCTCCATCCCCCTAGCCCAGGAGCTACTGGCCCGCTCCATGTTTCTGTAGAGTGGCTTGTTCTAGGGGTTCAGATACATGGAAACAGTGTATGGTCTTGAAAAGACTTTTTTAAAATTATACTTGCTTATTCTGCATGTGTGTGCACATGTGTGCCATGACGAGTGTGTGAAAGTAAGAGGACAGCTCGTGGGAATCTGTTCTCTCCTCCTGCCACGTGAGTCCCAGGGGATCAAGACTCAGGCCTTGAGGCTAGGTGGCAGGGCCTCTCCCTGCTGGGCCATCTCATCACCCGGTGTGTAGTCTTCTACACACTGCTTTTTTATGTACTTCCAGCGCTCCAGGGTTCACCTATGTAGCCGTGCCAATATTTGTTTCCAGTTTGTGGCTGGGTGGTGCTCTGCGTGGGGAGAGGTCCTGCCTGCTTGTCTGTGAGGGCATGTGGATTCTCTCTCTGCTCGGCTATTAGTGAAGCTCTACACATGTTTGTATACAGGTTTCTGTGGGAATTTTTCAGTTCTTTTGGATATTGCAACTGAGGAGTGGAATTACTGTGTCAAACTGAAACTATAACTGTTTTCCAGAGAGCTGCACCATTTAATTCCCAATATTTCAATAACTTGTTGCCAAGCATGATCCACCCCTCCCCCCAAAAAATATTGAATGGAAAATTGCAGAAATCTTGTTTTGCATAGCTTGTATTAGACTGTATTGTTAAACAATTATTACTAATTATTACAATTTCATTACTGTACCTAATTTATTATAGTTAAACTTTACCATTGATATGCATATCTAGGGAAACCGTGGCATGCATATGGTATTTAATCCCAGCTATGGCACGCCCCCCCTCTGCCAAAGGGTTTTAGAGCTGGGTGAGGATTCTGAATTCCCCACTTGTACACTTGGATATTTTGATGATGGTAGATATTTCTGCTGACTCTGAAATGATGTCTCACTTTGCTGTGCATTTGTTTTCCCTGATAATTAATGATGCTCAGGATCCCCTGCTTGTTGTTCTTTTCTTTCTTTTCTCTGCCTCCCTCCCGGACTGGGGATTGAACCTAGGCCCTTTCACATGCTAGCCAAACGCTCTACCACTGAGCCACAGTGGTTGGGTTATTTGGTTTTTTATTATTGAGGTGTACCTATTCTAGGTACGAGACCCTTATCAAACACATTATTTACAAAACTTCTCTTCTGTTTTGTGGGTTTTCTACTTTCTTGATAACAACTTTTTAAAACATGAAAGTTTAAATTTTGTTGCTTTTTTAATTTATTCATGGATTAATTTTCTTTAACATTTATTTGTGTGTACAGCGTGTGTGTGCACGTGTGCAAGGTGGTGGGTGTTTGTGTGTCATAGTGTATTATGCGTGGAGGTGAGAGGACAGCCTGCCCGAGTCAGCATGCAGTCCCAGGGACTGACCTCAGACCGCTCAGTTTAGCAGCAAGCATCTTTGCCTGCTTAGCCGTCTTTCTGGCCTGAATCTTGTTGTTTTTTTAAATAAATAGGATCCCTTTGGAGAAATTTGTTCTGTGGGGTAGTAAGGAGGAATAAAACCCTTGAACTTTGTAGTGTTTGATCATTCTGTACAAGTAGGATTTGAGTAAAAGGAAGCATTCTTAGTCTTGGAATGTAATAACAGACACTATGAAACTTTGTAATAAATACCAAAGTAAAATAGAAAATCATCAATATTGTGTTTCCTGTGACTATATGCCAACAAGAAAGAAATGTTCAAAAATGAAGAGCTGGTTCAGTGAGAAAATTATAAATGGCTTAATATTTTCAAGTTTTAAAATTAAATTTTGTAGCAGGACAGTAGTGGTGCATGCCTTTAATCCCAGCATTTTAATTCCAGGCAGAGATAGGTAGATCTCTGTGAGTTTGAGCCAGCCTGGTCTTCAGAGGGAGTTCCAGGACAGCCAGGGCTACACAGAGAACTATCTGGAAAAACTGTGTATATAAAACATTGTGTGTGTGTCTGTGTGCACATGCCCACTCAACCTGCACAGATATATAGAGAGAGGTCAGAGGATAGCTTCCATGAGTCTCTTCTTTCTATCGTGTAGGTCCTGGGGATTAGACTTGGGTGCCTCGGCTTGGCAGCAAGTGCTAGACACTTTACCCACTGAGTCCCAGTTCTGAGGTTCTGGTCTACGCTATTACTCATGGCAGACAGCACATTTCATTTTTATTAATTTAATATTTTGTTTTATTTAAAGATTTATTTATTCATCTACTTTTTGTGTATGAGTGCTCAGTCTTCATGCACACCCGAAAAGGGAGTCAGATCCCATTACAGATGGTTGTGAGCCACCATGTGGTTGCTGGGATTTGAACTCAGAACTTCTGGAAGAGCAGTCAAATGCTCTTAATTGCTGAACCATATTTTCAGCCCTATTTTAAGTTTTACTATTTATTTTGTGTTACGTGTATGAGTGTTTTACTTGTTTATGTGTGTGTGCACTGTGTGCTCACTTAGTGCCTGCAGAGGTCAGAAGAGGGTGTCTGACCCCCTGGAACTGGAGTTATAGATGGTTGTGAGCCACCAGGTAGTACTGGGAAGTGAACCTAGGACCCTCTCTGCAAGAACAACAAGTGCTTTTAGCTTCTGAGCCTCCTCTCTAGGCCTTTATTTGTCTGTGGATGTGTGTGAGGAGCAACCCGCCTCGGGGGTGTTCCCAGCCCTCTGTCTTGTCGGAGACAGAGCCTGTTGTTTGCTGCTGCATACACCAGGCTAGCTCCTCCTAAGCTTCCCGAGAGGCTCCTGTGTTTGCCTCCCATTGTAGGCACACGAAATTCCAGATACGTGCTACCAAGCCTTGCTTTTCGCGGTCTCTGGGGACCCAAACTCTGGTCCTCACATTTGCATGGCAAGCACTTTACCTACTGAATCATTCACCTGGCTCGCTATCACCTCTTCGGTGAAAGGAGTAAAAAGAATCATGGCTCAGTGGTTTAAGAGCACTGAGCACCCTTGCAGAGGACTTGATTCCATTCCCAGCACCCATGCGTTGCTCAAAACCATTTGTGATTCCATTTCCAGGGAATCTGATGCCCTCTTCTAGCCTCAGTGGGTTCCAGGCAGGCACTGATACACATTTATACATGTAAGCAAAAACACTTATACCTGTAAAGTAAAAGCAAATCAGTCTTACAGAAAGAATCACTTGGGTGGTGGATTTGATTTTCCACATGAAAAAGTCTCAGTTCATATCTTCACGTAACTTCTGGTAGAACCAACTGATAGTGGCCATGTAGCATTGTTCCAGTCTCGCTGGCTAGTGGCTTTGTTTCTGTCATCTCTCAGGCCTGATTTTCAGATCACAGTCCTGTGAAACGTGTAGGATCATTGCCTTTGGGGATGAGGGTGATGAAGTTCCCCACCCAAAGGTGCTGAAGTCCACACTAGGGCCTGATTGTGAGCCTGAATGGTTCCTGGCCAAGCCACATCGTGGTTCATCAGGGCTTTCCTTGGGATGTGTGTGTGCTGTGCTGCAAGTTCAGATGAGCAATCTGGCTGTCTCTGCTTAGACAGTGGATGGGGACCATATGTCTGACCACCTTTGTTTGTTTTCTAGCTACGAGGGCACTGGCCGGTCCCTGTCCCTCAAACTCATTCAGCAGCTTCGTCAGCAGAGTGCCCAGAGCCAGGTCAGCACCACTGCTGAGAATAAGACCACAACGACAGCCAGACTGGCCTCAGGTACCTAGAATAAGACCCCAGCAACAGCCAGACTGGCTTCCGGTACCTAGCCGGCCTCTCACTATCTCGCCCCAGGACTCATGACAGTACCAAAACCTGATGCTGCGCTAAAGCTAGAGTCCTAGGAGTTGGTAGCCCTTTTGAGGGGAACTGTAGTCCAGTCACCAGGTGGGAACTTGGGTCTTCGGATTCCTGAGGTCTTTTGGTCTCTGCTCAAAGACATGGGTAGGGTATATTGATTTAGTGGGAATCTTTTAAGTTGGGGTTAGAGCTGGGTAAGTGAATATCTAGCTCCAAACCCCTTAAATCCCCCACTTTAAATTCTTGAGCCATGACTGTCTGAACACTGTCATAGATCAAGTGGAATATCCTTATTGCTCTTAAATGCTGTATGTTGTGTAATGGTTTCTAATTGTATGTGTTGTGGGCAACAGCTCGGACATTGCACGAGGTTTCCCTCCAAGAATCAATCCGATATGCCCCGGGGGATGCGGTAGAGAAGTGGCTGAATGACCTGCTGTGCCTGGACTGCCTCAACATCACCCGGATAATTTCTGGCTGCCCATTGCCTGAGGCCTGTGAGCTGTATCCTCTGTGAGGGCTGAAGCGGTTAGAGAAAGGTTTTGGGCTCAGTGCAGTGGCATGTACTGATAGTCCTTGTCCTGATTTGGGAGGCTGAGGCAGGAGGTTGTGGACCTATGAATTCAGGACCAGCCCAAGCAAAACAATGAGCAATGAAATCTCTCTCTCTATCTCTATCTATCTGTCTGTCTGTCTGTCTGTCTGTCTATCTATCTATCTATCTATCTATCTATCTCTCTTTTGATTTTATTTGAGACAGGGTTTTTCTGTGTAGCCCTGGCTGTCCTGGAACTCCCTCTGTAGACCAGGCTGACCTTAAAGTCCCAGAGATCCGTCTGCCTCTGCCTCTCAAGTGCTGGGATTAAAGGCAAGCGCCGCTACTTGGCAAGGTGTTGCCTTTAAAATCCTTTTTTGAGGAACATACTCAATTTTGTTCCTCGGGTTTCTGCACTGTAGTTTCTGCTCAGGCTGCTAGACTCCTAGTCCTAAGATGGGAAAAATGCTGTTCTCAAGCTGGGGGAAATTTTACTGATGTGTCTTGTTTTGGGTTCTTTGTGGTTTGTTCCTATTGCTTAACTCTAGACCAGCTACTATGTTAACAGAGATACTCTCTTTTGCTACCACAAAGCCTCTGAAGTTTTCCTCCAGCGGCTCATGGCCCTCTATGTGGCGTCTCATTACAAGGTAACCTACTTACTGTTCTGCCGTGCCCTGCAGCAGGGAGCAATCCTCTCAGGGATTCCATTGGGACTTAAATGTGTCGAAGCGAGTAGGGTCCAGTGATCTTGTTGGAGGGGCCATATTCCCTATTTGTAGCTTGTGTGGTTTGGGTCAGGCTTTGGACACAGTGTGTCAGAGTCACAAGTGGGCACTAGAGGGGTGGGGGCAGTGTTGCCCATCTTGAAGGGCACTGGCATTGCTAGCCAGTAGACTGCCTAAACTGATGGGCTGAAGTGGGACCAGCACTTGAAGCCCAGGGGTGCTTTCTGGCCTAAGCCAGCTCATCCTGCTGAATTCAGGAGCAGGGAAGACACAGAGCTAATGGCGGGTTGGAAGGGTTGCTCCCTGAGGGTCCAGGTATTACACAGCATTTTCATCAACAGTGTGCTTTCCTGAAATAGCAAACAGCCTTTTCTCTGGAGAAACTTTCTCAGTTGTGAAATAAATAGTGTCAAATGACTCTGCTCCGTGGCCTTAGTGTTGAGCCCGAGAGGACAAGACAGTAGATTTAGGCCCGTGAGCCATTGTGGAGTCTTGGCTTGCCACAGTGATAGAAAGGCGCTTTGCTCGGCTCCGGAGCCTCGCTTGGCTTTGGAAAAGGCAGAGCTGCAGTCACCTGTTGATTCTCAGTGGGCCTTGGGAGTGAAGGGTGCATAAGGTGTGCATTGCACTGACCCATGTGTGTGCCCGCAGAACTCTCCCAACGATCTGCAGATGCTCTCTGATGCACCTGCTCACCACCTCTTCTGCCTGCTGCCACCCGTGCCTCCCACCCAGAATGCCCTGCCGGAAGTGCTTGCAGTTGTCCAGGTACAGAGGAGAGAGAAGCATGGTGTGGTGTTGATTTGGGGAGCTCTTGGGCATTCGTGTGGATAGGGAAGCTCTTGGGCCCTGACTTGGGTCTAGGCAGGTGGGTCAGTTGAGGCAATGAGGGCCTGCACTGGAGAAAGCTGACATGCTCAGAAACCTGCTCACGGTTGGAGAAAAGGCAGAATGGCTTTCCCCCCTTTATTGTGAAAGCATTACATGATTCTTGTAAACTTAAAGACTACATGAAGAAAAAAGTTTAACTCCTGGTGTGTGTGTGTGTGTGTGTGTGTGAGAGAGAGAGAGAGAGACAGAGAGAGAGACAGAGACAGAGAGGGAGCACCATCTGCCATTATTCCTTCCCATAAACTTGGAATTATAGATGTCAGATTCTTCTGCAGTGTGTCAGTATTCATAATCTACATAATATTTAAAAGCTACACAGTGCTTTCTTGCATATTCAGACAGGATTTGTCTATACAGTGCTTTATTGCGTGTTCAGACAGGATTTGTCTACACGGTAGTTTATTGCGTGTTCAGACAGGATTTGTCTACACGGTGGTTTATTGCGTGTTCAAACAGGATTTGTCTACACAGTGCTTTATTGCATGTTCAGACAGGATTTGTCTACACAGTGGTTTATTGCGTGTTCAGACAGGATTTGTCTACACGGTGGTTTATTGCATGTTCAGACAGGATTTGTCTACACGGTGGTTTATTGCATGTTCAGACAGGATTTGTCTACACGATGGTTTATTGCATGTTCAGACAGGATTTGTCTACATGGTGGTTTATTGCGTGTTCAGACAGGATTTGTCTCACGCCTTTCCTCTCACAGACTTGGGTTCTTTGGAATTGTGCTGTCCCATATAGAGCTGTGCGCATATGCTGTGTCTTCACTGATGTGTGTTTAAGTGGTGCATGCTGCTTGCTTGACCTCCATGGAGGCCCTCTTATGCTCTGACTTTTGCTCTTGGGAGCCTTTGAGTTTGTGATAACCTTCGACACAATAATGAAGCCTTCAGTCGTCAGTGTTGGGCTTGAATCTAGAAACAAGGGCTTAGAAAACCAACGGATGCTTGGGATCTGGGGCTAGCTCATGCCTCCCCTGTCTTGTTTTCCCTAGGTGTGCCTCGAAGGAGAGATTTCTCGCCAGTCCATTTTGAATAGCCTATCTCGAGGCAAGAAGGCTTCAGGGGACCTGATTCCATGGACAGTGTCTGAACAGGTGAGGAGGGACGACCCTGGCATGTCTGATTAGCAGGCTGACGCTGTTGGTGTTGCTAAGCCACTGGCTTGTGTCTCCCACAGTTTCAAGATCCAGACTTTGGAGGCCTTTCTGGTGGACGGGTTGTTCGGATTGCAGTTCACCCGGACTATCAAGGGGTAACACATCTTCCCTCCTGTCAAATCTTGTGCATTGCTGTTTAATGGGCTCCTAACAGCTCCTTAGGGCGGGTGTGCCTATGTGTCCGATAGAAGGGAAATTTTAGGTGTACTCTGCTCTGCAGAATTTAGCGCCATAGGTTGGGGTGGGCAGGTGGTCCAGGTTGTTGGTTTGTACTACTTTTCCCGTGTTAGAACACAGGACATGTTTGATTGTTCGTAATTGCCTTCTGTCACTCTGAAAGCCTCATTGAGGAGTCAGCTGTAGAAATGTTCCTTTCTGCAGTGGCATAGCCAACCATCCTTAGACTCAGGTTGCAAGTGGGCTCTGATTGGTTGGCTAGACTGATATAATAACTCAGACCCCACTATATGGGGCACCAGAGCCAGCTTTGACAGCATTGAGTTTTATTGATAGATTTTTCCAAATGCAGTTTGACCAGGAGCAAATGCACTAGAAGCAAGACAACAGTGGCTTAGACAGACTGAGACGACTCTTCCCTCTGCTCTTTTCCTGTGTGCAGATGGGCTATGGCAGCCGGGCCCTGCAGCTCCTTCAGATGTACTATGAAGGCAGGTTCCCTTGTCTGGAGGAGAAGGTCTTTGAAACACCACAAGAAATCCACACTGTGAGCAGTGAGGTAAGCCTGTTCTGGCAAAGCTCCAGTCCTGGCTCTGAGAGGATGATTCTTTGGGCTCTTACCCGTTTGGACAGCCAGCCACGTTCTCCACTGGTAGAGTGTCTCAGCTTAGTCACCAGCATCATCTGCCACAGCGGAAACTCTGGGAGTGAGTGTGGCTTACCAGCCTGCAAGTGTGCTGCCCAGCAAGTTGGAAAAACTGCTCTCCAGCGGCCTCTGTTGGTATTAGTCCAGGTGACAGAGTTCTACTTGCCATCCTAAGGCGACCTGCACTAGTGACTTACAGACCTTCACAGATCTGCGTAGAGTGCCCGTGGGAGAGCCTGTGGGCTTTGATTTAGCACTGGGCCAAGGTGGGTTACTCTCCGAGGTCACAGAGGTGCCAGGTGACAGAATCAATTTCATGCTGCATTTCAGAACCCTACCTCTGTCCCTTCTAAAGTGGCATTGCTAGACTGGTGGCCTTTTCTTGCATTCTAACTAGCTTGGGGATGCTGTGATTTCACACATCCTTAGGTGTGTGGAGCACCTAAGATGGTCACTTGACTCTTGGGGTCCTGTTTAAAAGCCATAGGAGCACACTAAGAAACCTATATTTTGTTGTGATATCCTGAGCGGCTTGAGACCGCTGCTGTCCGCTTTGCTTTGCTGAGGGGATGGTGTCCTCATCCTAGGCCGTCAGCTTGCTGGAAGAAGTCATCACTCCCCGGAAGGATCTGCCTCCCTTACTCCTCAAGTTGAATGAGAGGCCTGCAGAGCGCCTGGATTACCTGGGGGTTTCCTATGGGCTGACCCCCAGGCTCCTCAAGTAAGTGCTTGTCTGTTGTCTGGCTCCAGCCCATGGCAGGGGAAGAGGACCGTTCTGTGTGTGGTGTCTCCCTGTGCAGCTGGGGTCTGTGTCACTACCTGCTGCTTTATACGCCTCCTGGCCCTTCTCCCTTAGTCTCTCGGCTGCTTCCCAGAGGGCATAAATGGTGATCCTTCTCCCCGCTTTCCTTTTTTGTAGGTTCTGGAAACGAGCTGGATTTGTTCCTGTCTATCTGAGACAGACCCCAGTGAGTGAGGCTTGGGGCAGAGGAAGGGTTGGATTTGTGTCTAGAGTTGGCACAGAGTGTTTGTTTCTCCCTGGTTGTGCCTGGGTAGTGTCCCTGTGCTTTTAGAGGGGTTACTGTGCGGGACAAGCAGCTATCCTCTTGCAGAGGCAGGTTGTCACAGAATGATTCCTCCACGACTCCTGACAGGTCTGCTGCATCCTTGGCTTTGTGCTTCATTATGAAGTGGTTGGGGTACACATGGGCTTGTTGGCCAGGTTACAGAGTCAGTCTGCAGGCTGGAGTCTCCCCGAGTTTGTAAACACAGCTCTGGTGGTTTCTGAAGGGGAGAGGCAGACAGCGGACTGTTGGGAAGGCAGAACAGCAGTGAGTTCTCATATTAATGTAGTGCCTACGGAGGAGCAGCCAGCACAGGGAGCAGCTGTGACGCTTGCTTTCTGATGGGCAGAACTAGGAATAGCAAGCAGCAGAACACACGGGCACTCCTCAGTGGCACGTGCTATGAAGACCTCAAATGCTGATTGTAGCACAGTTGCCTGGACTGCAGCCTAAACCTCAACCAGGTGACTGGAAGGGGCCAGAAGGTGGGTGGGGCTCAAGCTAGATGGAGTTTGGGAGAATGCTGTGCACGCTGTCACTCTACAGTGAGAGTTTCCAGCCATCAGGCACACCACAGAACAAGACACAGGAGTGCTTTCTCGGTATGTTTGTATGGTTTTCAAGCAGGACCCTAGGAGTCTAGTGATCGCCCTGGGTACTCCAAACACCTAAGCATGTGTGGATTCAGGGCTTCTTTGATCTGTTTCATTCACTCCAGTCCCCAGCTCTAAAATAGCCTCTTGATGCAGCATTCTTAGAATCTGCTGAAATCACACAAAGTAAGAGGACAGGTGACTCTGGGTTTGCCAGCCCTGGTATTCTGGATGGAGCAGGGCTCTGTGCCCAGTTGTAGATATGGGAGGTGCACACACAGACATGAATAGACCTTTCCCAGAATGGAAGGGAGAAGACATCAGTGTAGCTGTGGGGTTGGGCACGAGGGAGGACTTGTCAGGTGGAAGATTCTTGATGTGTGTTCGTTCACCACAGAGATTATTTGCAGGGGTGCAGGCAGAGAGGGCTGACTGCAGGGGTGCAGGCCTTGTGGAGGCCAGGAGGCAGAAACCCAGGATTTGGAAGATGGTAGCATCTCGTCCCTCACTACAGGAGGGCAATGAATTTGGGTTCAGCAACAGAGATGGTAAGGACGTGAGGACAGGATGTGAGGGCATCTCATTGCTTCTGTTTCCAAGGCCACAGTGCTGAAGGTCAAAAGGGGTGTGGCTTTTGGAGAATGCAAAGCTGGTGTCCAAGGGTAGCGGTGGCGAGTGTCCATGTGGAGTCTGAAGTGAGACAACCGGAGACATGAGTGCTGGCAGGCAGGTGGCAGCAGATGGGCTAGTGCGTGTCCATGCGCTTGTCCAGACAGAGCTAGAGATCTGGCATTTGCATGCAGAAAGGATGGAGACCAGTGAGCCACATAGGCCATGGGGCATCTTGTGTCCTTGAACTGCTGCTTGCTCTGACTTGTTCCTACCATTTCAGTCTGTCAGTGTTCTTCAACAGAAAGCCATTAGGTGCTGTCATGCAGTTGTGAGACCTTGTTTATGTAGTAAGAAAGTCCAAAACTGGCCTTTCACCATTTCAACAGCAGTGTTAGACCTGCCTGGGCTACATAGCAAAGCTGTTTCTCCCATACCATCCTGAATATGCACACTGGCTGCCAGCTTAGAGTCTGGCTTTGTTGGGAAGTGTCTGTTGTACGGACTTCAAGAATGCATGGACAGGATGCGTTCTGGAGCCTTCGTGGCCCTGAGCTCAGGTCTCCCTGAAAGGAGTGGGTGCAAAGCAGAAGTCAGACCTGATTTGAAGTCTTGCCGGCCAGGCCTGCTCCATTCCCACGGCCTTTTAGGAGGTTGTGTACAGTGTGAGCAGTAGCGGTGCAGCTGTGAACCGAGGCCACTCGTGCCGTGTGGAAGCACCAAGCCCTTCTCTGCAGTTTCCCTTAACCAGCAGTGGGAAGCTCTCAGGAGAAAGTGGTGGGGCCAAGCAGTGATATGTGTTCCCTAGAACGACCTGACTGGAGAACACTCCTGCATCATGCTGAAGACTCTGGCTGATGAGGACGAGGCTGAGCACGGAGCGTGGCTGGCAGCATTTTGGAAAGGTAACTCCAGTGGAGTGGAGAGGGGAAAGTGGGGTGACAGGCTAGGGCATCTCCAGACCGCTAACTGCCTGGCTGTGCCCTACAGATTTCCGAAGACGGTTCTTGGCCTTGCTGTCTTACCAGTTCAGCGCTTTCTCTCCTGCCCTGTCTCTGAACATCATCCAGAACAGGAACATTGCGAAAGCAGCCCAGCCAGGTGAGCTGCCAGCCCGGGAGCGGAGGGCTTGTCTCGTCCTCAGTCTCTCTGTGGTGCCCCCTGTCCTCCAAGCTCTCCTCTGTCCTGTCTTTGACTGGGTATGGGATGTAAGAGATGTTCGTACAGTGGTTTGCTGTGGAACCTGGTTGAAACCTGTGCACTAGCTCAGACTCTGGGGCTCTGTTTCTTCCTTTGTGAAATTGTACTGCAGATATACAGTCAGCCATCTGTGGCTAGTGTGGAGAAGAGCTTTATGCATGTAAGTCAATTTAGTTGGGTGAAAATTTTAAAAATTTTATCAGAGGTCATTTTTTTCTGTTAACAGTTATGTCTATACATTTTTATGTTTATCTATGTCTACACATGTTTCTATTTGTATATTTACTTACCTCTTGCTGATTCTATTTTGATGGCAAACTCTGGGTTCCTTGAGGTGGGCCGAGCGTGCCCTTGTGTAAGCTGGAGGAAGAGTGACACGGGGAAGGGTGGCAGTGCCCTGGGATGCTAGGGCGTGAGGGGCCTTTGGCCCAGCATATGGTTGACTTCTGCACTGCCAGCTCAGGGTGTATTGATGGCAAGATACCTCAACAAATTGTTTTTAGAGATTTACATTAGACTATTGTGCAGGTGTACCACATGGCTCCTGTGGAGGTCAGAAGAGGGCCTGGGAGTTATGGATGGTTGTGAACTACCATGTGGGTTCTGAGAACTGAGTCTGGGTTCTCTGCAAGAACAACATGTGCATGCTCTTAACTGCCGAGCCACCCATCCAGCCCCTTCCTAGAAGGCTTTGTGTGTTGGGTACTGTCCTGTGAGGACGGCAGACCGCCCTGACGCGTGTGGTGGCTCTTGTGTGTTGGGTGCTGTCCTGTGAGGACGACAGACCGCCCTGACGCGTGTGGTGGCTCTTGTGTGTTGGGTGCTGTCCTGTGAGGACAGCAGACCGCCCTATGCGTGTGTTGGGTGCTGTCCTGTGAGGACGGCAGACCGCCCTGACGCGTGTGGTGGCTCTTGTTGCATGTGCAGCCCTAACCCGGGAGCAGCTGGAGGCGCTTTTTCTCCCCTATGACCTGAAGCGGCTGGAGATGTACTCGCGGAACATGGTGGATTATCATCTCATCATGGACCTTATCCCAGCCATTTCCCGCTTGTACTTCCTGAACCAGCTAGGGGACCTGGCCCTGTCGGCTGCACAGTCGGTAGGCCACCTGGGACTCCATGGGGGAGAAGGGAGGACGGTGGAGTTGTTGGTGTTTAGAAATAGCTTTGTGCCTTGAGCACTGGCAGGGCCGATGGGTGGCCCGTTCTCACCCTGCAGGCTGACGTGACTGATGGAGCTGTAGTTAGCAGACTTGCTGCACTTGGAGCCCAGGCCACCCTGGACTCAGGATGCAGCTGTACAGTGGTGTTTGTCAGGACAGTGTGAGCGAGAGTGCAGTTCAGGAAGGATGAAAGAGACGAGACCAGATAAACACCACTGCTCTCTGATTCCTGCTAGATAGCTTCATCAAAAGGGACAGCTCCATTCTCATGCCTGTTTTAATGGGAAAAGTCTGTCTTCAAAGCCATTCCAGTTGATTCTCCTTCCTCCAGGCTCTTCTCTTGGGAATTGGTCTGCAGCACAAGTCTGTGGATGATCTGGAAAAGGAGATTGAGCTACCCTCAGGCCAGTTGATGGGGCTTTTCAACCGGATCATCCGTAAAGTTGTCAAGGTAACCTTGATCCAGGAACAGGATTTTGGTCTCTTTCCACTAACACAACATGCCCACTCTTTGTTTTTAACAAGTACTAAATCTTAGATGTCTTTGCTACAAATCTACTCTCTGTCTGTCTGTCTGTCTGTCTGTCTGTCTCTCTCTCTCTCTCCCTGTCTCTCTCTCTCACTCTTGGAGTGTCAGACAGTGTCTGTGAAGGGCGGATTCTTTCCTGGAGACACCGCTGTAGGAGTTTGGTACATCCCCACCCTGTTTTTATGCTCGCAGTGTGAGCGTATCCGTGTTCCTAAGGTCTGGAGTATCGCTTTGAATGCTTTTCTTTTACTACATGCCGTGGTGAGGAGTGGGTGACTGACCCCTGCTGCTCCTGCATCTTTCTTCATGTTGTCTTTGTAGCTGTTTAATGATGTCCAAGAAAAGGCCATCGAGGAACAGATGGTGGCAGTGAAGGATGTGGTCATGGAGCCCACAATGAAGACCCTGAGTGATGACCTGGTACGTCCCAGAGGAAGGCTTTAGGAGTTCGTGTTCCCTGTGGCTGTAAATGTAGTCATATTAGCCTGCAAATGGAGAATGTCCTCCTCCACTGCTTCAGAACTGTCCTGCAGGCTGGAGGTGCTGGTGCACGCCTGGTATCCTGTACTCTCAGACTGAGAGGCAGGAGAGTTGTTTCAGATCAAAGCCAGCCTAAGCTTTGTTTAGAGAGTTGCTGCTCAGCCTGGGATAGAGAACAAGACCTCAAAACAAATGACCACAAAAGCTGGTTCTTTGCACTAGTTTAGCTAAACGGCATTCAGCCTTTGTGCCTCCTGTTGAACACAAAGTGTGATGGAGGACTTGGGCAGTTGTTGGTGCCAGCGTTGATTTCCCTTTCAGGTACTTTCCCAAATGCACACTTCATGGGTGTGCGTATTGTAAAACTGTGCTAGCTGCTTAGTGCTCCGAGGACACCTCAGAGGGAAGTGTTTCTTCCTGTCACACCTGCACCCTTCTCCTGGGCCTTGTGAACTCCTTGTCTCTGACTCCTGCTCTCTGGCTCTGGTCCACAGGATGAAGCAGCAAAGGAATTCCAGGAGAAACACAAGAAAGAAGTGGGGAAACTGAAGGACATGGACTTCTCTCAGTAAGGTTCCCTCCTGCTTAGGAAATCAAGAGTTCTTCCCAGGCCTCCACAACCTGCAGAGTCTGCTGTGGGTTCTCCTGCCCCGTACCCCACGTGCAGAGTCTGCTGTGGGTGTGTCCTACCCCGTACCCCATGTGTAGAGTCTGCTGTGGGTGTGTCCTACCCCGTACCCCATGTGTAGAGTCTGCTGTGGGTGTCTCCTACCCCGTACTCCATGTGCAGAGTCTACTCTGGGTGTCTCCTACCCCATGACCCCATGTGTCAGGAGTACCGTAGCTGGAGACTCACAGTCCGTATTCATTTCCCTGGATCCCAGAGTCGTGCTTTCTTGACCCCCTGGGTTTGTGTTACTCCTCAGGCCCCTCCAGGAAGGGGATGTTGGGCAGAAGAACATCCACCTCGGTGGTCCCTTCTCCATATTTGGCTTTTGCCTGTGAATTTTTGAAAATCGTTTGGAGAAAGGGTCCTGCACCCGAGCCCCTGCTCCAGAGTCCTGTGTACAGGGCCTGTGTTTCTTTGAGCGTTTCTTGATGTTTCTGCTCCACCCACCCAAGGCGGACAGATCCTGGCATTTCGGGCCTCACACCATAACTCTATGCCAAGAACCATTCAACTTGTCTGCCACCAGATCATTGGTGAGGATGGTGATTGGGCAGATGGGAGTGGCCAGGAGGCCATTTCAGGGCATCCAGCTGGTTTCTGCTTGATGTACCGGAACTGCTTCCTCCAGGAGAAGTAAGATGTTGCAGAGTAGGGAGGCGGAGGCCTGATAGGGCGGGGCAGGAGCTGTGGTCGAGTGAGGACGGCAATGGCAGGGGCAGTGGCAGAAGGTAGCTGTAGCAAGACTGATTTTTCACTATCCCCCACCTCCATGTGACTGCTATCTGGTGGGGCTTACCTTGAGCCTGGGCCCATCTGTTCACCTCTCTGCAGCGCCCACGCTAGTACGGCTCTTGTGTCTCCTGGTAGGAAGTGTCGTCTGTGGGCGGCTCGTCACTTTCATATTTTCTCTGAAGTAGCCTCTTCTAATGGGCAGTGGCATTTCCCCTCTTTACAGATACATAATCCGTGGGGATGATGAGGAGTGGAACGAAGCTTTGAGCAAAGCTGGGCAGAACGCCTCCATCGTTAGTTTGAAAAGGTGAGGACCTGTGATGTCCCACACATCCAGTCGGCTCTGTAGCGAACAAATGCTTCAGGAGGTGTCCTGCTTTCCCGCTTCCTCCGAGGTCCCTGGGGCCACCTTGGTAGCACATCTGCAAACTGGGCAGCATCGTAGGCCTGGAGCTCTTTCCTGGACTTAGCACAGGCCAGGGCTGAACTCTTGGAGCCAGCCTGAGAGAGCAGGTCTGCTGCTGTGTCCTTGAGACTTTGTAAGCCTTGGTCCTGTGGCACAGGGACCAAGTGTTTCCATTGCTTTATGGCCAGTGAAGATAGGGCCAGAGTTGGGTCAGATGTGTCTGCTGCAGGCCAGTCATTTGAGTCAACACATTGTCCTTCCTCTAAGCATCGGTTCTCAGAGTCCTGGGTCATAGAGGTCTTTCCTTTTTATTGCTGCTTCCCATAACAAAAATTAAAAACTGAAAAGGATTTGTTTGAAATGAATAATAGTATGGCTGGGGATCAAGCCCAGAGCTTTGTATATGCTAGGCAAGCCCTTCCACCAAGCTAAGCTTTTTTTTTTTTCTTTTTTGGAATTTAGTTATTTTTATTTTATGTGAATTGGTGTTTTGTCTACATGTGTACCTGTATGAGCGTGCTGGAACCAGAGCTATAGACAGTTGTAAGCTGCCATGTGGGTGCTGGGAATTGAACCCAGGTCCTCTGGAAGAGCAGCAGCCAGTGCTCTTAACCTCGGAGCCGTCTCTCCAGTTCCCTCCCCACTCCCTCACCCCACCCCCCAAGCTAAGTCCTGAGAAAGACATGTTTTTCCTTTGGCCAGCTCTGGCATACTGAGCGTGAGCGAGCCTCTGCAGGACTGTAGTGCCCTCTTCCCTTGAGCCTTCTCAGAAGCAGAGCATGTGCAAGAGGCAGCGAGTGGTAAAGGCCAAGAAGGGATCGGTATTAAAATGAAAATAGTTTTTTGACTTCCTTGGGCACCCCAGGCATCCTGAGGTCCAAATGTCTCATCTGCAGTGTTGAATTTGCAGGCGATGTGTCCTCGCACCCTCGGGACCAACAGGAGAGCTCCTATGCCCAGGGCTTGCACCTGAGGCTGGCATGAATTCCAAAAACTTAGGGCCTGGCCCACCTTCTCCATAAGTCACTCCGGCACTTTGAAGGACCGGTGCTGATGGCAGCCAGATCCTCCAGGGGCCTTTGGCCTGCTGTCAGCCTGAACCCTGGTTTGAAGAGTGTGACAGATGTGTTAGGTTCCCTCACGTTCTAGCTATGCCGGTGGCTTGACTGTCACAGAAGGCCTGGGGTCAGCCTACTGTGGAGAGTCCTGGCTGAGCTCTGCAGAGCGAGCCTGTCCCTCAGCTCCCACTGGGACTGCTGATGAGGACCTCATGAGTTATCCAGCCCGTGTGGCTCATGGACTCAGGACTTAGAAGGAAGGTGGTGAGGTCTAACTGGAGGTTTCTCTCCTGCCCGCTGGTCCCACAGCCGCTTATGAAATAATCAGAGGCCTAATGTTAATTATAATTGTTTAGCCAATGGCTCAGGCTTCTTACTGGCCAGCTCTTCATATAATAATGACCCATGTATCGCCATGTCCCTGTGGCTTACTGGTAATGCTCTGGCATCTTACTCCTCCGGTGGCTGCTCCCCCGACTCCACCTTCTTTCTCCCTGTATTCAGTTTGACTTTCCTCCCTAGCTGTACTCTGCCCTGCCATAGGCCAAAGCGGCTTTATTCATCAGTCAGTAAAAGCAACCCATGTTGACAGCGTACAGAAGGGCATCCCACATCAGTGAGGTGAAGTGCTCAGTCTGTCCTTGAACATTCTTGAGGCCTGCCTGCTCCCCACCCCCTTTTTAAAAAAGAGAGTTTTATGAGTGTTTTTGCCGGCGCCTATGTATGTATCTATGTATACCATATATGTGCCTGATGCCTGTGGAGGCAAGAAGAGGTCATTAGATCCCTGGAGCTGGAGTTAACAGTAGTTGTGAGCTACCGTGTCAGCACTGGGAACTGAACCCTGATCTTTTGAAAAGCAGTACTCTGAGCTGATATGGTGATGTGTGTTTTTAATCCTAGCACGCAGGAGGCAGAGGCAAGCAAGCAGATCTTTGTGAGTTCAAGACTAGCCCGGTCTAGTGAGTTTCAGGCCAGTCAGCTATGTAGAAAGACCCCGAAGACCCTGGCTCGGGGGGTGGGGAACCATCCCTCCAGCCGACTTATCTCATTAATTTCTACATGAGGTCCTTGGTGTATGTAATGTTAATAGTCTCTGGATACCCTGTCCTCATAGGGAGTCTGTTGTTCCCAGGGCAAAATGTCATGAAGTGAACCTCATCTCCAGGGGCTTTTAACTGGAAGGTCGCCTGCTTGATCTGTGTGTGACCCTGGCATGAGGCAGTGATTCCCAGGTTCGTCCTGCTGGGACTTTTTGCTGCTCATTTAGGAAAAATCAGTTACCAGCAGTGCCTCAGGAAGGACACGGGCTTTCCTTGAAGATCCCATGTCTATGCTAAGAGTGACCTTTAGGGTCCCTGGGGTGATAGCTGGGCATCTGTGTGGTGGGAATAAGCTGTCATGGAACTTAGATGTTTGAAATCTTGTGAGAGGAGACCATTTAGTGCTCTGAAGAGAACTTGGGCTACTCTACAGATGCTGCCCTTAGTTAGGGGGGACCTTGTGACATGTCCCAGCCCCGCATGAAGCCTGCTCTCCCTGGAGGTTTTCAGGAAACGTGTCTGGGTGTCAAGTTTGTGGGCCGAGGGTCATTTTTCAGACAGCAGCCTGTGGTGTTGTAGATCTGTGCTGTTAATGCTTTTGGTTTCTGTCCCTGATGGTGTGGGTTTTCCTCCAGTGACAAGAAGAGGAAGTTGGAATCAAAACAAGAACCCAAACAGAACAAGAAGTTGAAGAAAAGAGAGATGAACAACAGAAAGGATGCGAAACTGAAGCGGAAGAAATAGTGAGGCTCGAGGAGACCCGGACTTCTGAGCTGTGTTCGGCTGGACCGGGCAGCAATATGGACAGTAACAGAAATGAGTCTCCATCAGGGGCAGCCCTGGCTCTCACCTGTGTCCTCCGTGACTGAAGAACCCCAGTCTGCTTAGAACGTGGTGGGTGGGGAAAGTTCTGGCATTGCCGGAGCTGTCACTCCCACCCAGGGCCACATTTTCACTTTGGGCCAGGTTTTCTTTCAGACTTGTCCCCACTTAGGGGTGCTGCACTGGTTCCTGGCCTTCCGGACCCTTCAGTACTCAGCTTCCTCGTGGAGTGCTCTGTCACTGCAGGCTTGTCCCAGCACTCTGAGGCCTGCTCCGGCCCCTTCTGTTCCATTCCTGGCTGCAGTGTTCCAGGAACGTCCGAGCCCCTCGATGCCTTTTGGTTCCCTCTTCATTAGGAGAGGCTATCAAGAGAGACTCATGCTACAGAAGTGAGAGGAGGGATAGAGTATCTGTCTATTTTTAACAAACAACATCATAGATTATTTGTCTGTGGTGCTTATAAAATCCATGTCTGTGAAAGCTGCATGTTTCCCTGTTCCTTCTGGTGACTTCTGGCTGCCAGATCCAGTGGAGGCCCAGGTGTCAAGACCATGGTGTGTTGTGGAGCTAGAGTTCCAGTCTAGGCATGTGCAAGAGAAGTCACAGGTACCCAGTGACACTGTAGTCACCTTGAAAATTAGCTGCCTTCGCTGGGTCCTACAGTTCATCCCGTTAGAGACAGAAATGACCTGGTGGCTTCACACATACTCTGGCCCCCATGTTTAACGCTGTCTGCACCGTCTGTTCAGCACTCATTGGCAGAAGTCTAATAGACAAGGAAGGAAGCTTCTGGACCAACAGGTGATGAGTACGTGACTCCCCTGTGGGAGAGGCTCTGTGCCCACCTGAGGGCTACACCCTACCACTGTCTGCAGGGGACCTTGCTGAGGAGCCAAGAAAGGGGTCTTCTTCACTGTTTTCTTGGGTAGCCTCCCTAGCTTGCTGTTCAGGGAGGATCTGAGAACAGGGCCAGAAACCAGGGTGCAGGTGCTGGCTGAGAAGAGTTGGACAGCTTGCACATCCTGCCTGGTGTCCCTAGTCAGTGGAGACCAAGGATTGTAAGGCCAGGCCCATGGGAGCTTGGCCATGGCTCTACCCTGAGCCTCTTTGAGATCTGGGCACTGTGTGGTTCAGATGTCTCCTGTCTCCACTTGGAACAGTGGGTAGGAGGGCTTTAGTGGATTGACTTGAGAGTAGGCCATTGTAAAAGCCTGCTGTGCCTTAGGTGAGCCTTCTTGTCACACATGGGGAAACCAACCTATTTAGAGTCACCACGGCCTCATCAGATTCTGCCTCTCAAGCTTGGACTTACAGAATTAATTATTCTCCACCCCCTTTCCCACCCTGTCTCTCTCTAGTTTTTCTAGACAGGGTTTCTCTATATAACCATAACTGTCTTGGAATTTGCTCTGTAGACTAGGCTGGTCTCAAAATTGAGAGATCCACCTGACTCTGCCTCCTTAGTGAAGTTAATTTTCTTTATAAACTATTCAGCCTGGATATTCTGTTTTTAAAAAAATGGCATGTGCTTCACCTTGCTCCGGGTTCAAGTGGGTCACAGTTGAGTGGTGGTGACGGCACTCATTCCAGCCACGAGGAACAGTGGGTTGGGGGTGGGGAGCAGGAGCTTAGAACACTGTCTGACGCTTAACAACAGTGGATCTGTCTGGGTTTGGGTTGCTCACCGGGTCTAACTAGGGGGCTGCTCTGAGGTGATGGATTATTGGCCATATTCTAAAATAAGCCTGAGCTAACATGCATGGGTGGCGCAGCCTGAGCCTTGCAGCCCGAGGTGCTCAGCTCTAGGTACTAATTGTCTTGGGACAAGATGCTTCTCAACTTGACCGGGATGGCTTCTCAGGACACAAAAGGAAGCCAATGCTATGTGCAGTCAAGGTCCTTTTCAAAGCCTGTGTCCTAAGCAGGTGGGTATGCCTCCTTCAGACCTCCCCATCTGGTCCCCAAAAGAATGACACCTGTGTCACCGGGATGGGAAAGGGGTTGACAAGATTTGAACAGAGAGGGTTCCTTCATTGTCTCCCCACCCCCACGCTATGAGGGCTTATCAGCTTGTTGCACTGTTCCCCTGGTAATCCCACAGGATGCTGCAATGATCAAGAGACACAAAGGGGTGTGTGTACTTGTGCTGAGGCTAGGAGAAAGGGGCGGGAGGTAAATGACAGTCACCCTGGGGAAACGTAGGCTCATCTAAAGCCACACAGCCTCGCAGCTCGTGTGGGCCTGGAGAGGCTGTGGAACTAGAAAACATTTTGAGTCTAAGTGGGTGATTTCAGGCTGCAGGAAAGGCGTTGCCTTGGATTCTATAAACAACTGCTTAATCCCAGGAATTGTGCAAAGGGAATGTTCTGGTTTGCCAGTCATTCATCTGCACAGGGGACTCCTGAGAAGAAAGGAACCAGCTTAGTACAGAGATTGCAGCATCAGGAGAGAGGCTGGGAAGGCTAGAAGCCTCGAGTCTTAGGGTTTGCCTTGGCCCAGGCTTGGCCCCAGTGGCTTCTGTGTTGGTACCGGGGTCTCGGGCACATGCTGCACAGATACTGCCTTGTCTGCTGTCCCTGGGTCTATTACAGATAGACCCAGCTTTTGCTTCTTCCTGTCTAGCTGCTGGTAGCGACAGGCTGAGAAGAGAGGAGGCACTCGTGATCTTGAGTAGCCCCAGGGTAAGTGATCACATACTCCTGTTGCTGTTAGTTTGAGGTTCTAGGAAGGAAGAATATCTTCCCCTATAAAAATGTGTGTTGAGGGCTGGAGAGATGGCTCAACTGTTAAGAGCATTGCCTGCTCTTCCAAAGGTCCTGAGTTCAATTCCCAGCAACCACATGGTGGCTAACAACTGTCTGTAATGAGGTCTGGTGCGCTCTTCTGGCCTGTAGGCACACACATAGACAGAATATTGTATATATAACAAATATTTTTAAAAAAATGTGTGTTGATGCGGGCAAACATACCTGTGTGTGCAGGCCAGAGTACGTTGGGTGTCCCAATCTGTCATTCTCCATTTTATTCCCTTGAGAGAGGGTCTCTCTTACTGAAACTGGAGCGAGACTGGCAGCCAGCAAGCCCCAGTGAGCCTCTCTCTGACCCCACAGTACTGACTGGAGTTACACGGGGTGCACGTGGCTACACCTAGCTTTTTACATATGTGCTAGGATCTGAGCTCAGCAAATGTCCCATTGAGCTACTTCAGCACCAATAATATTTTTAAAAAAATGATTATTTTAAATATTTGTTTGAAAGTGTGCCTATTATATATAAGCGTAGAGAGCGAACCCCTCAATTAATCCTCATATCGCCTCTGCAGAGAAACTAGTTAGAGTCGGATTGTAAGCACGCCTGCCTTTTCAGCTCTAACAGCTCCTGCAGGTGGAGTGGCCAGACAAACCTCCAGGAAGGACACTCCAGCCAGACCTCTCCCCGTCCATCTTCAGGGTGGTACCGAGGATGGCATCTACTTGTGTGGCCCCCAGAGGGCGGTGTGGTGCACTGTTGAGTCACAGACTGAGGCGCAAGCCTGGCCTCTACCTCAGCAGAGCTAGGAAGTGTGCCTTTCCTGGGCTCGTTCCTGGAGTCTGTCTTCCAGCTAGAGTTCCAGAACACTACTAAATGCTAGCCCTTGGGCTCAGTTCCCGGTGATCTTAAGAAGTGGGAGGATGGGTGGTATATTTAGCAAAGATTCCTAGCCCAGGCTGGCCTCGAACTTCTGCTCCTGCCTATATACCAGGTGCTTCTCATCCGACCATGAAGTTTGGAGCTGGGACAAGTTCACAAGCCCTTAGGTAACTTCCTCATCACATCTGCAGGGAAGGTTCCGGGGCCATAAGGTCAGAAAAGGCCACTGACGTATCTTCCCCGTCTCAGCTTTGTTCTCGCCCAATGGCACATACTAATTTTCATCTGTCTCATTTCCCAGGTAAAGAATTTACCCATCTAAGGACAGAGTCAGACTGCTCTGCTGTAGGGTCTTTCTGCCCAGTGGCACAGACTCAGCTCTGGGTTCCCTCCATGGTCCACTGGGGCTCCTCTTTACCAGGAACAGATGCCACGGCCATTGTTAATGAGTGTTTATTGTTGATAAAACCATAGTCCATTTACAGTACGTGACAACATTAAGGTATAGTTACAGTATCATACAATATTACAGCAATAAAATACCACTCAATTCTTTTGTACATCCAGCACAAGCAGCGAGTTGAAAATATTTTCCAGGATTGCAAGCCCCAGGGGCTTCTGATGAATAAATAGTTTCTAAGGTAGCTGTTCTTGATGCTGTCCCAGCGTCTGTCCAGAAACAGGCCAGAGGATGGGAAGCCAAGACTGAGGGCAGGCGGGGAGCAGACACCCCTTCTCTTCCACCAAGGCCCTGTCCTTCATGCCCAAGAGTCACAGACCCCAGTGAGAAGTGTGCTCTTGCACTCCAGTCCTGAGTGAAAGGAGCCTTGCACTTGAGACCACGGGAGCACTGCTGCCTGAGTCTGCAGACACGAGCGCTAGGTGGGCTTCGACAGCCTGCCTCTTTCCTTTGGCTGCTAGCTGTAGCAGCGAGAGCTGAGGTCCCTGCACTCCTGTACTACATATACCCCATCACACCCTCAACTCAGACGCTCTGAGCTCAGACTCCAAGTTAGTAGTAGTCTTATAGGGAGGGCCACTAGGGGCCCAGTCTTCACAGACAGGGGCCACCAGCCCTTTCAAAGGCACAGCTTGGGGGACAGGATTTGGAAAGCCTTCCCTCTGTGTGGCATTTAGGGAAACATACCAGCTATTGCGTTTAGCGACCTGGGGCTCGGGGATACATTCTCGAGATTCCTAAGAATGCCCATGCTCCTCGCAGCCCCAGCCAGGTAGATGGGTCAGCCTGCTGCTGAGCCACTGGAGGAGAGGACACAGGGTAGCCCGCGAGGTGCAGATGATGTCACACACCCTGCCAGTTACTGGTTGAGCAACAGTGAAGTGGGCTTTGCCCACCCAAGGGTCAGTCAACACCACAGAGGGTTATCTGGGGGAAGAGCAGGAAGCACCCCCATGAGCCTAGCTCCAAAGGGCCTTTAGGCCTCCCTCCTCTGGAGGTGCCCTGGGCGGCTGTGTTCGGCCTTAGCAGACCTTTGCACACCCGCAGACAGCAGTCACCCTTCACCCTGCCTCACACCCGGGAGGTGACGTAGACAGAATGGACTCGCTCCGCCAGGGTGCTCTGCAGGTCCTGCAGTGGGTCCAGGCCCTGGACTTTGCTGCTTCGGCCATAGATGAGCTGCCGAAAGGCGTCCTGCTCCAGCAAGGCCTTCATGTGCTTGAGGAAGAAGCCCTCACAGAACAGGGCCAGCTCTGGGGCGTTGTGGATCTGTGGGCAGGGAAAGAATTGAGGCCTATGGTCTTTGTTTACCATCCCCAACTTCAGATGTCACCTGCTCACAACAGCGCTCATCCCTGACCTAGGGAGATGTCCCTGTCTGCCTCTGGAA